GATCAACGGTCGCATGCAGAGAGCCTCGGCTTGATATGCAACGAGCGACGATAATGAGCCTTGTACGAGCGTGCTCGCCCGTGTGTATGCGCATACATGCGACGTACATATGCAATTTGATGCTACGATCGTTTCGTCGCGGGTATTCGACGCGCGGTACATGCTCGGGGAATCGTAAACTCGGCCCAGTTTCGTTGTTACGCTTTCGAACGAATGCCCGGCGATCCTACGCAAAAAACTAATGACTGCGAATCCTCCACGAGCGTTCCACATCCGAACAGGTACAATTGTTCGCGTTTCGAGTGCCGGCTGGCTCGGCTCTAAGCGTTTTAAGAGCCCTGCTCGAACTATAAACAGTCTTACGTATACGAGTGTTTAGTCAAGTCAACGCTTTGATGACTACGCGTAAACTCTTTTGCAAAAGGGTTTCAACTTCTTATTTTTTGCAATTTTAAATTCAATTCGATTCGATGCTTTGAGAAGCAGAAGTTGGATTAAAAAGTGTCGTCGCAAGTTGGGGAGAAGAGGAAATTAAAGACACCGACTTTGATGTTTGGCTCGTTTTTGATGTTTCATTGAATCAGTAGCGAAGGGGGACTCGTTTGCGAGGCAGACACGGATTTTTCAGTAAAAGGATTCCCCGTGGCGGCGTTCTTTCGTTCCACCCTCGGAGGTTGGCGATAAATTTTCGGTTAAGAAGCGGCTTTAATGACCGAGGCTTCGTTGGAGCGCCAATTTAGCCGGGCTCCGGTTATCCCGGCGCGACGATTTGACGCCGAGGATAACGTTCGATCGATTCGATCGAAACAGCGTTCCTCGAAGCGGACACAGGTGCCGCGTGCAATATCAATGATCCCCGCCTAATTATTCAAATTGCCGGCCGCTTTACAGAATTCTTAATCAGACCCGTTTAAGCGCACGCTTTTCTTTAATCGCGTTCCGCTCCCCGACAGAAAAATATAACAGCTCGAGCTTGTCGTCGTTTCAAATTACAAATATCAGAAATTCCATATAAATTAGTCTTCTTTGCGCGATAATAATTAATCGACGATCGTGCTGAATTTCGTTTACCGTACTCGTAGCGAGTATGCGACTCGCTGACGTGGACAAAATCGTGCTTAATCGCTGGCACGGTGCATTTCAATGCAATTTCCACGAAACCATCGGCCACGCGTCGAAATCCATGGAATTCTTCGCTACATTTTTGATCTCGATTTTCAACTTCCCGAGAATATTTACTCGAAACTCCAGACGCCAGTCTGACCGAAATAGATTAGGCGAGCGTATTCGAGCACCAGGAAAGCCGAACGGTTTCTGTTCCGTCATCGTCGACTTCCTTCGCGATTACATTGCTCTTAAACGTTACCGTAACGGAACTAAAAACACCCTCGCCCTCGGCGTTCCACCACCGGTCGATGTCACTTTTTAGAATAGCAGCTTTGGGGCCGGCATAAATAGCATCTCGGCGCAAATATCGCGGACGTTGGCTTCGGAGCTCGCGAGAAAATCGACGAGCAGACGTGGGGCGTTTAACCTTTCCAGCATTCCCTCCCGAAACGAAACATTTCGCGTTTAACGGTTCTCGAAAAATGCCAAGCTTATTCGTTGGATCTAGTTGTCGTTGGAAGGTATATTTGTTCAACACGAATCTGCCAGGACCGAACGAAACGGTTTCCCGCCGCCTCTTAAGTTAACTGTTTTGGAATTGCAGTTGTCAGAAGACGTTTCCACGCGACTGAAAACGACTTGTCGTAGGAAACGGGTCGGCTGTTTTCGCACGAAGGATTGCGAGAGCACGTTTCCGGTTGCTGTTGAGAGCTCCGCAATAAAACGACATGAAAGAGGTATCGTTTTGCTCTTTAGTATGTCACGGTGCCACTCGTAGCGGTACACCGTGCTCGCATCGACTCCTCGTTGTTATGCAAAGAACATTTTCTTGTCGACGATTCAGCACAGTTTCCCCTCTCTGTCCCCGTGGCACTGGTCCCAAGTTTCGCGTTGCATTTACGCTTCGTTTCGTACCTCGCTAACTACTATTTTATTATTTATAAAGTATTTGCATCGCAATATTACGAGACGCAGGACTGCAAAGGATTGAGAAACAGTTTACGGTTCGAAAGGTTACCAGGTCTCATTTTCTAGCCAGGCTGTCGCATCGAGCGAGTCGTTTGATCTTTGCGCTTCTGGTTGCACTTTCCGCGGTTGAACTTCCTCCCAGGAAGCGCTCGTCGCCGTGAAATGTCACCGTTGCAAATACGAGCGCGTGTAACCTACGCCGTATTCAAAAAAACATTCTCTAATAGCGAGACCAGACGATCAGCAGCGAGCTTTCTCAATGAAATCATCGACGAATAAATCGCGTCGCTGCTGGAATGCTTAGAATTGCCTCGCGGTTACCTAACGAACGTCCCCCATTTACATAAAAGCCTCGAATGCAGCCGGTGTACTAAGTGCGTCTATTTGAATATTTCACTCCGGGGCACGCAGGGCGTCTAGTTTCATTAGAGATTCGTGGAACGATTTTTTAAACGAGTTTTTCCAGCTTCCGGGCACGACGTAGAGTCGATTATCGGTACGTTTACCCTGATCGAAATCGTAGTTCGCGTGGGCAGCCTCGAAGGTCTCGGTAGGTCTCGATAGGAGAGCTTCGCGGCGAGTCCTAAAATTCGCGAAATATTTATAGACCGCAGCTGCACGATCGCGCACGGTCTCCTGCCGTGGGAGCACCCGTTTATTCGCTCCTCTCTCGAATCCGACGATTCTGCGTTCGCGTTTTACAGAGAAACGTCTCTCGTCGTGGTACCGGTGGCCTGTGTAACCTAACGGTGCGTAAAATACACGCGACACGCGGGTCACTCTTGGAAAAAATCATTTCTATTAACGGTACAGCCGCGCGTCGTCCTTTGAATTCGTCGCGCGTCCCGCGATAGAAAGGCGACCGATGCAGTTCGAATATTCTACGAAAAGATTGCTTCTCACGTTCATATACCATCAATCGTCAAGGTTTCTCGTGTGTTTGCACAGTAAGCCCCAGACACAACTTAACGACCTCGTCGCCTTGAAATTCAGGGATACTAATTGTTTTAGACTCTGTCGAAATGTCTCTAAAACGAAGGACAAGCCACGAGAATACGATTCGGATCGTTAAAAGAGACGGGACCGGATTCCTCGGGGTCCGGGGTCGTTAAATCGCGGGTAACAGCTGTGAAAATTTGTTTTCCAACGACCCACGTGCGTGTTTCCCCGAACCCGCACAAACGGACCGGTTTTCCACGGTTTCGAGAGCGGAGGGACGAGACCCTCGAGCCAGCCGGCACCCTTGTCGACGTCTTCGCACAAGGGGTTGTCTACTCGGAAGAGAGTGGGCCGCTCGTGCGAAAGAATGGACACAAAAGGAACGGGGGTGCGAAGTCCGGGGCGCGTGTACGAATATCTCTATGCGCGTATGCTACTTGGCCAACACGCACGCACGATTCTACAAAAGGTTGGTCGGGTACCAGCCACCTTCTCGCGGAGGTCGTTCCTCGACGATGGGGACGAGGAGGGGTGGGCGCGTTCGCACGAGCTAGGTACAAATCTTCGCCGTCGTCGTCGTGAACGGGAATCGAAGGGAAAGAAAAGACATGGCCCCGAGGCTCGCTCGACGTGAAAGAGGAAGAAGGGCGTGTTCCGATTGTCGTTGGCTTTTCTCCCGTGCAGAAACAAACGTCCGAGGAAGTCTTTTGAAGACGACGGACCCTTTTGTGTCGCACCCCTTCGGCCGAGTACGATTTTATCTTTGCAACAGTTACTGCGTACGAGGGACCGCCGTGTAATTAGTGTATCGCGACCAGCCACCTTGACTCGCGACAATTATGGGGGCTCTTGGACGTTACTCCGTAATAGCGGTTCCTCCATTTACGCCGAGGGGTGCTATCGGATGCGTTTCAATTGTCCAGTACTTTCCGTAGAGTTTCCAAATGCCCCCACCAACCATAAAAGAAAAGTCGTAATTTCGTGGCAGAAGGAATTTACTTAGAAATCCGATCGTAAAAATTCTGTGTAATAATAACGTAAACAGGACGCTGGGACTCGGCCACGTGGGTCGGTCGGGTGTAAATCGTCGGACGCAAGACCGCAGTTAGGAAACGTTTTGTGGATTTCTGACGCACATGTCCCGGATACGCGAGTCTGGCGCATCCGTGGAAAGAAAAACAACGCCCTCGAGGCGTCGCGACTTCTTCGTGCGTCGACGAGGACGAGGGGGTTTTAGGCTGCGGTCAGAGACTTGGGAAGTCGTACATTCGCGACCGCAAAAGAAATTAAATCCATGGTGTTATCGTACGGACTGCTCCGAGTCTCGTTTATCCTGGGAAGTCGACGTCGACGAGCACCAACCTTCTGAGAATTTTTTATCGCGAGAAGAGGACAGTTTTCAGGATCGGGGAGAGTTCGAGGAAAGAAATCTGAACGATTCGTAATCTTTGCTTTCGATACATTTTATTTCGAAGCGTGTACAAGTGTGATAGTTCCATGGAGGTATCTGCGAAGCTATATTTTACGCACAATTTGACAAGCCAGTGTCCCCTAGTGGGTTCGATGGCTCCATTTGCAATAGGTTTTATCGTTATGTTAATAGAGCAATTTCCGGATAGTCGGTTATATTGTCCCGTAGCATCGATAATTCCCCCTAGAGAGCCGGTCCCCAATGTCAGCGACGAATTAGGGGTGTTTTCTGTTTCCGGGATCGTCGACGAGTCGCGAAACGGTCAAAGGGTCCGACGATGATGCCAATAAACACGCGCGTCTCTATAACCACCGTGTGTAACGTCGTATCTTCATTGATAAATTGACGTTGGCCCGCCACCCTTTAAGAAGCATTAAACAATCGACCCCCTCCGACCATCAACCAATCGACCGCATCCATCTTCGTGACGCCGTACAATTGCCTCTGATCGACCCGCAGAGATAAGAAGAAACGTATCTATATTAACCGTTCGGTTACTTTTTTCTGTTCGCAGACTTCACCATGGATTGGTCCGATCACGCGCTATGGTGGCCCGACAGAAATCACTGGCTGATCAGAACGAGAAGCACCCTCGATCAGTATGGCGTCGCCGCGGATGCTCGTCTTCACTTCACGCCGATGCACAAAATCATCACGGTGCAATTGCCAAACATGACCTGTCGCGACTGCAAAGTAGACTTCTCCGTCAAGACGTTCAACGCCGTGATCAACTTGTGCAAGGAATTAGGCGAGTTGTTTCTCTATTCGTTAACCCTCGATCGGGGTTTGGAAGTATTCGCTACACGACCGACAGTGTGGGATCGCTTTAATAGTTATCAGGAGGATAAACGGAGCGTTTGAATCGAAGTAGCGAGAGGGTGGACAAATTTAGGGGAGCTAAACATTCTGCCAGGAACACGACACGTTACTTTAATTCGTGAGATCATTTAAATCCTGCTCCGTCCGTTGCAAAATTCACCGTCGAAAGTTGAGAGCCGTGAAATTTTTTCGACGGCGCGAAACGAATTAGCAAGGCCGACGCTTTAAAAGTGGAATTCTTGCGCAACGCTTTTATCGCGGCGGAGTTAATTACTCCCGGTAACGAAATAAAATTGTAAAATTGTCAGTCACGCGAAGGTCGCCGGTCCCTTCTTCGAGCAGCGAGGACCTTTTTAATCAAAGAAATGGTTTGTCGCGATAATGAAGGCATTATATCGCGGTATCGCCTAGCTTGCCAGCTAGTTGGTTTCATTTTTTCTACTTTTCAAACAAGGAAAACGATTCATCGATCAATCTCTCCGGCTCGTATACCTTCGTAAGCCGTAGAGCAACAAAAATAACTCTCGTAATAACTCATCCGCGTCGTCGTAATGGTTATTAAAGTCACGGTTTCTTATTTTTTGTCCACGTAGTCGCGGACAGATAACCTCGTCGATAGCCTTCCGCGTGTCATACTCGCAAATAGACGCTGTGTCGTAAGCTCGTTCCCGCGACATTATTTCCACGTAACTCTTTACCAACTACCGAAAGTTCTCTCTAAAACGAGACCCCGTCGGTCTCTGTTGCGCTTTAGGTATCAGACACCCGGAGGAGCTGTCGTTTTGCAAGCCGCTCGAGCCGAGTCACCTGAAACACAATTTAAAAGACCTCCCGGACAAAAAGAGGATCGAGAACCAGAAGAACGGGCACTGGAACGTGCCGGCGGACACGAACACCTTCATTCCCGTCAGCCAGAGTCCCAGGGGATCGACGGGGAGCCTGGACCAGAGCAGCGCTTTCATGTGCGCACCGGTCACACCCAACAACAGAAATCACAGCACTCCGATCAGCTCGCCGGTCTCGGTTAGTACGAATACACTTTGGCCACGGTAAAAAAATACCAGAGCGTAGGACCTGTTATGGTAATAAATAATCCTCGATCGAGTCGATCGCCGCGGCTATGATTTATCGGCGTCGACCTATCATTACCGTCGGCGGGGGCCGTTCGTCTCGGAAAACTAATTTGCTTCTCGCGAAACGGGTCCGTTTTCCCATCCACCGTGCTAACATTTTTCTACCGTCGCGTTGTCCAGCAAACCGGTACGTGGAAGAGGAACAACAACTCGTCGAGTTTCGGTAGCACCGGCTCGTTCAACGCGAACAACAGCACGATAGGCACGGAGACGTTGAACCGCGGACTGTCCAAGATCCTGGCGCAGAGCGTCGACTGGGTAGCGCCGGAAATGTGGGCGAAAGTGGTCAGGCCGAAGAATCTCGTGGAACGCGCCAGGATGAACGTCGCTTGGCTGGACTCGTCCCTCTCGATCATGGAGCAGGGTATACGCGAATTCGACACCCTCAGGCTGAAGTTCAAGTTCTACTCGTTCTACGACCTGAACCCGAAAACCGACGCCGTCAGGATCAACATGATTTACGAGCAGGCCAAGTGGCAGCTGCTGTCCGAGGAGATTGACTGCACCGAGGAGGAGATGCTCATGTTCGCCGCGTTACAGGTACGGAGACCCTCGTTTTCTATTCGCGCGATCGTTTACGCGGCGACGGTTTCACGATCCAAACATCCGGCGCCCGTGGACCGAATCGATCAACACGGATCCACGTGCAGAGCGATGGACAGAAATAACTCGACCAGGGTTTCGATATGTCCATCCGCTGTTCTCCGATGTCGTTAAGCCGAGACAAGATGATAGGGGCTCGTGCTTGCGACGCGTAGTCGATTAGCTCTGATTCGTAACGACCGACGAAATAGAAGTATATTCGTGGAATGAAATTGAGTGGATTAGAAACTCCCACGCGGCGCGATTCGCATGCAAATCTCGTCCGTTTAAGTCGATCGGGGAGAGGAGAACGTTCGCGTCGTTTTTCCGATACGCCTACCCGATTCCTCGGTCGCCGAGCATAACGATAAAAGGAGCGTGTCGACGTAATTGGTATTCCGTGTTCGCAGCTGCAAGTGAATCTCCAGGCGAGCGTGCCGCAACCGAATTACGACAGCAACGGCGCCTCCTCGCCCGTCGAAGACGACATTGACGCGGCCTTGACGGACCTCCAGGTGACCCTCGAGGGCAGCAACATCAGCAACGGGCCCAGCGACATCACCCAGGTCCCCGAGCTCTGCGATTACCTGCGCTTCTACAAGACGAGGTTCTTGAATCTGACGGGCTTCAAGTACTACTGGGTCACGTGCAGAGACCTTCAGCTCAGGTTGTACAAGACCAAGGAGAAGACCAACAGCACCGAGTCACCTGCCTACGTGATCAACTTGCACGGATGCGAGGTCACGCCGGACGTCTATCTCTCGCACGGACGCTACGGGATCAGGCTCGATGTGCCCAGCGCCGAGGGAATGACCCAGATGTGGATCAGATGCGACAATGTGAGTTACACCTCCGCTCGATCTGCAATTGCTGCGCATTATCACCGCCCACGCTATTATTCGGAAGGGATTTTTCTCGAATACCTGAAATAACTTGACGCTCGTTGCAGGAACAACAATACGCAAAGTGGATGGCGGCGTGTAGATTGGCCGCGAAGGGTCGCACCCTCGCGGACGCGTCCTACGAGAGCGAAGTGAACAGCATCGCGGCTTTCCTGCAACTGCAGAGGCCTGCACGCGCCCCCGCGATCGATCCAAACTCCCATGTGATCATTCCAGAGAACTACGTGGCCCAAAAGTTCGCGAAAAAATTCAAAGGAAAGCTGGTCCAGAGGATCTTGGAAGCGCACGCGAACGTCAAAGATCTTCCTTTGATCAAAGCCAAGCTGAACTATATCAAAGCGTGGCAATCTCTCCCCGAGTACGGGATCTCCCTGTTCGTGGTTAGATTCACCGGAAAAAGCAAAGACGAGCTGCTGGGTATCGCTAACAATAGACTGATGCGAATGGAGCTTCACAGTGGCGATCACTTGAAAACATGGAGACTGAACAGCATAAAGGTAAGCGGATCTTGAACGGACACTTTCCGCGGCAGAGTGCTCTTCGTAGCTTTTGTTAAACGATATTTCGCTTCGACAGGCCTGGAACGTGAACTGGGAGGTGAAACACATGATGGTCCAATTCGAGGAGGAGAATATAATTTTCGAGTGTCAGTCCGCGGACTGTAAAGTCATTCACGAGTTTATCGGTGGGTACATATTTCTATCGATGCGATCGAAGGAGGCGAATCAAACGTTGAACGAGGAGATGTTCCACAAGCTGACCGGTGGATGGGTTTAAGGGGCGAGCAAACGAGAGCACAAAATCTGTTTCTAACGGCTTCGAGCTTTGTCGTTCCCGCCAGGGTCGCGCACGTTGGCTGACATTTGTATAAAACACTCGACTCTATATTTAGAGACGCTTTATTATAGTATTTGTAAATAGAAGACCTATCTCACGAATAGGGGACAACTAGATTTTAGCGGATTTATCGTACGCACGAGATATACGATCGTGAACGTTGGATGGATACGTTGATGGCGAGTTACTTTTGTACGCGATGAAAGAGTAATATGCAGTTTACGGCCGCTAAAATCGTGCGATAGAATACGAGGCGTAACGTATTTCGTAATCGAGCGAAACACGCACAACGATCGACCCACGAGCGAATACACCGCGCCCTTTTCTACACGCGACGCCGTTGATTAAGGTCATGAACGAATTAACGTTTTTCCAGCGATTAGCGCGTTTCCCTTTCTCTGGCCTCGACCTCGCTAAACGACGACGTTCCCGATGATCTTTCGGTTGCCAGGTCCATCTTTCTCGGGCAGATACATGTATTTTTTCACAGCATGGGGTGCTATGCCGGGAGAGATCGACTTCGAGACGCGACGACGCAGCGAAATCGTGTAAATTATTTGTTGTTTTAATGTAAACTATATATATATATATATTAAAATAATCGTTATCTTTAGCGATAAATACATCATATTAACTAAGCTTTTGATCGGTGTAATCATTTCTAGTAAATAATAATTCAAGAAAAAAAGTAAGAGTTAAACTATCGTAATGTAACGAACGTATTGTATAAATTGTGTACGCGTGGAAATAGAATATTTACCAAATCTGACCAATCTTAACTTCCGATCGTTTCTGGATGGATGATGAGCATTTTTAGCCCGAAATTTTAATATATATAAAAGATATTTACTTGTAGCGTGTAACCAGAAGAGTATAGTTTTGTATATTGATAGACGCTAGGTGTACAATAAACTTAATTATTATTAATCCGTGGACTCGTTGGTGGCAGCTTCGTTATCGGTCAAAATGGCAGGAGTGGCTCCGAGTTTCCGGTTAATTTCACGCAACACGCACCCGTTGAAATCGTGAAATTCTTTATTAAAGTATGCGTTATTAAAAATCATGTATACATGTCGACAATAATCGAGGGAGTAAAACAAAATGTATTATAAACATCCGCATCTCGAACGTCGCGAAAATTCCTGGTCATCTCGTCGACGTTCGGCGCACGATCGGTGCTGGTTCATCCCTGTCGGTCCGACTTCTCCTTCACTCGACGGCGCACAACGTGTTTTTCCCCGAATTGTCCATGGACTTCACGCCGCTGCCCTGATTCTTATTCTCGGAATTCTTGAACGACGGCAGCCCTCTCGATACCACGGGGGCGTTGCAACCACCCGCTGCGCCCGCTCCAACCATGTTTCCACCACCTCCGCCTCCGCATACCTGAATCAAAGCAAAACTCCTTTCATGGACGTCCAGCTATCCGTTTACTAATAATTCCTACGCCCATGACAAGCTATTTTATTTCAAAGTGACTTTAAAAGAAATTTGTTTTCTGTTTTATAAGAGGCGTCGAGACTACACGATATTTTTAAGCACTTTAATAGATTCACAGCCCCGGGAATGGTAACGTTTGGTTAGACTTAGAGCATAGAGAGTCCCGATGCATCGATCGAACGAATAAAATTCACCTGCGGATGAATAGGGGGTGCAGAGTGCACGAGTCGTCCAGCAAGTGGACCGGGTTTTTCTTTCTTGGTGCGCACCCACTCGTGACCCAGGACCCTTTCCAGAGTCAGCCTCAGGGTGATGTCCGGTTCTAGGATGTGCTTGACGATGCTCTTTGCCAGCGCGGACACTACCCCCCGTACTCGCGAGCGGAACATCCAGTTCCTCGACATCTGGTCCTTCAACAGTTTCTTGAGATTCGTGTCGTCGAAAGGCATAGAGGCGTTCAGCATGATGAACAGAATGATCCCTAGGGACCAGACGTCCGCCAGCTTCGGGTTGTAGGGGGTGCCGGATACGACTTCCGGTGCAGCGTAGGCCGCGGAGCCGCAATAAGTCTCGCTGAGGACGCGTCTGCCGTCGTGGTCGACGCAAAACCTCGCGAATCCAAAGTCCGCCAGTTTGACGTTGAACTTCCTGGATAGAAGGATGTTCTCGCACTTGAGGTCACGGTGGGCGATGTTCTTCCCGTGGAGATAATAGAGGCCGGATGCCATCTGTCTGAACCAAAGCTTCGATTGCTGTTCCGGCACGACGCCGTTCTTTTTCACGAAGTCCAGCAGGTCGCCATTGTCGGCGCAACGCATGAAGATGAAGACCCTCGGGCCACGCTGCAATATACTGTGCACCTAGAAATGTTTCGTGTCTGAATGCGATTACTATTTACCCCGTGGTATTTACCGCACGCTGAACACGTCGTCTTACTTGAATGATATGAGGATTTTCAATTTTTGTAAGGATCTCGAGTTCGCGGGGGAAAAACTTGTTGAGGAAATCACGGGGTGCTTTCTCTTTGTCGAATATCTTACAGGCTAACCGTAGTTTCTTGGAGCTGGTCCCGTCCACGTACTCGGCCAGGTGCACGGTCGCGTACGAACCCTAATGTTTGCAAAGTTCCCAGCGACCACGGTCGAATTTGTACGATGAAAATGAGAAGAACGCGAGATGAATTCAATACGAGAATGTAATGATCCTAAATTACGTTGTGAGAAATTGCAGTGTAATGATAATGATTCGATACGGGAGTAAAGAAGAGGAGAACGCAACGTTGAAAAAGAAACGCGAGAAACAATGTTGCACAGCGAAGGAAGCGAGTAATAAGCAGATGGGAGTTGGTAGAGGTTAACGAACAGGTGGAGGATAGAGGGTTGGGGGTAAATAACCTGTCCAATCTTTTTGCCAATCAGATAGCCTCGCTGCTCAAGAGCGTTCACCTCCGAATTTCGGGGGCTGAGTCGCGTGGCCATACCAGGGGATCTTCATTGGACTTTCGATCCTGATAACGAATAACTGGTTCTTCTTCTTCTTTGCCCGGCTTCTCCACCACCTTTCCGGTTCTTATATCGCGTTCCTGTTACTTATTCAATGTCAGCTCGAACTCGTTGTCTTCCTTATCGTCCTTGAAACGTCTGCACGCACACTCCTTAAATTTGATCGAATTTTTTCGTGACGGATCCGCGGTTCGTGCTCCGTCCAGGAGCCGGGAAACAACTCGCGGGATATTTTACGTCGATGTGACCGCGTCAGGGGTCCGTTCTGTCATTTCATATGGCTGCGTGCACTAGAATTTTGAGCGTCGAGACCAGCTTATACCTGGTACGGAACGGGGCAAAGGAAAAGATCCGTGTCTCATTCGAACACAGCCATTATACTTAGAAACAACAAACAGTTGACCGGCAAGCACGATCGCGCCATGACTAGCTTCGATTTTGAAACATGTTCACGGTGTACGATCGGTGACACGGATTCCTCCCGAGCACAAAAAAATGTCACGGTTCCTCTTCTTCTTTACGGTACGCTTAAATGCTATACGTACTTAAACTTTAAATGCCAAGAAACAATCGTCGCGTGTATCACCGTTTCAGCGATTTACGGGACTACAGGTTAGATATATCAAAATTTATTCTCGTAACGTAACGTCATGCATCTAATAAATAGTAATTAAACTTTTGGATCGATGATCTAAGTACTGAAGAACTGTTGATAGAATATTATTCATATCTCATATATTATCGCGTCTACATTAGAAGCACCGGAATTTATTCATAAAATACAATCATATCTATCTAATAAATAATACTTGAATACTTGAATCGCTAATAATTTTACAATAATTAGTTTTAACTAACGATTAAACTATAGCTTTTCGCGGCACTATTTAAACAAGAACATCTAACGTCATCTACGAAGAGAACGTCCAAGTTTGTCGAGAAATAGTTCTCTTTTTAGGTAACTCTTTGTAGATGGGGGTGCAATCGACTATATTAATATATAGATATACTGAATTACATCCAATGTATTTTTGGGTAAAGAATTTATTTCTCGAAAATGAGTAGGATTTCAGAGGTATGTCTATTCACTAAAAATGATTGTAATGGACCCCTGCAACCAAAAATAATTTTTTTAGAACGGTTTAAAATTTTTTAATTTCGCCCGGAAAATTTGGATTGTTTTTCAATCTCTTTCATAGTCGACTCACATGCATTTGTGCATGCATTACAGTTAGTTGTCAATCAATACTAATTCAATGAAAAGTTTATAGATACTGCAGTCTTCCCTCTCACTCTAGCTGCGAGAGTGGGGGAAGCGGCCATCTTGCACTCGGCGCGAAGCCGCATGGCGAGTCAGCCATTGTTCAGCTCTCACAACGTGGAGACGTATCCACGCGTCCTAGTTATTTTCCAATAAACATTTGCTTTGTTACCGTTACGTTGGACGTATTCATTCTCCTGAGCTTCGTTCCTGGAGTCTGGAGATACGTGGGTGATATTTTCCCATAACTTTTTAAACTGACCGCCACCCGTAAGAGAAACCCAACCTAACCTCCGTACGGCAGTCAGATTAGATCACGAAAGTCCGTAAGGTGTAAGGTCAAAATTTATTTATTATAAAAATTATCAAGACAGGGTTTTATTTTATCGAAATTTTTTATTGAACGAATTTATACATAGCGTAGAAATTAAATTACGCAGCCGGATCATCACCCTTGGTAGTACGCGTGTAGATCAATTGCGCGTGGTGTTGAACGACTTGTTTGATGAATCCGTTCTGTTGCAGTTCGATCAGTGCCCTTCTGGCGAGAGATCCGCGGATCTTTAACCTTTCGCTGACGATCGATGGTGTGATTAATTTGTACAGTGTCACTTCCTTTTGCAGTTTCTCGTATGTGCTTTTGTCGAACAGTACTTGGTTGTTTAATTTGTCGCGAACTTTTCCTTTGGACCACTTCTACAGTAAAAAAATAGTTTGTCAAGATTATTAAAGACTTCATAGGATGTAAAGTAGGGAAAGATTGTACAAACCTTCTTTTTGGCTTTTCCACCAGATCCTCCTTCCTTCTTTTTCTGTGTCTTCTGTGGTTGCTTCGAAGACCCCTTCGTATCTTTCTTAGGCGGCTGAAATAAAAAATAAAAATGTATGACATGTCCAAAGAATCTAAATATTTAATTTTCGTATCAAATATTAATCAGACTCATTAAATCAGTATATTTTGCTATCACGTTATCGTTCCAGCATGAAATTGTCATCATTATATGTTAATTCAAAACAAATATCAATGGCTACGTAATATACTTAGCAACAGTAATGTGTTCGTCGAGAAATTTATTACCGTGTCAATAAAACAGGCACACAAGAATCATGTAGAGATGTTCACGCGTTAATTTAACTAGAAGTAATTGCAACTGAACATAAAAAATTCACGATTAAATTCTTCGAACGTATTGTATACACCATGTGGACGAAGACGCTGATTAAGGTTATCTTCTCGGTTACACGTAACATTTACGAAGAACTCGATTAACTTTTCAAAGAAAATTACCATAATGCATAGTCGAAAACTTCCGTTCACTCACAAAATTACTTAATGTAGATATAATTAAAAATAGAAGGGAAAAACGTTCGCTGTAAGTGTACTCACCATGATGACTGTGTACTCGGAAAGAAAAGGGAAGTGAGTAGGTCGCCATCTTTAATGGCTATTTCATTCGGATACTACGATGGTCAATGTCATTACCGAAATAGATTAAAAATTGAAGGAAATAACAGAATAATGAGTGAACGAATTAGTGGAAAAATTAAGTTAATGGTTATATTGCACGGTTACTAGAAAGTATATCAAAATCGGTTTACACGTGTCATTGATGAAATATTGTCGAGCTGTCAGTCGCTCAGGAGTGGCTGTACCGTGTCAAGCATGGCGCCACGCCGAGCGTTTTCACGTCTCGATATTTCTTACCTTTGACGCGCCAGCAAAATGTATTTGCTTTAAGAATACCCTTTACTATCGTTAAATTCATCACGAGTCTTCATTTGTATATCCAATTTCGTACTGGAAAGGTAATTACTTCACGGTAGAAACATTTATGTAAGGTTAAGATGCCATTCGCCGTCGCTACATGTCATTTGTATTTTTATTTAACCCGATCTGTAAACGATAAATGCGCGATTTGAATGAATCAATCGATGGCAAACTAGCGGCTAGTCCTAAATGAGATATTTAAGTGAAGAAAGTGTTATGTTACATTATTATCGGGTGTCATTAAGTGATAAGCGAACGTGTCCCTAATCAGCTGGGCGATCATCGGTTTACCTTCCACATATTTTTGATCGTGCTCGACGATTGCCTTCTTTGAACTATAAAATTTTTATTCAAACGCCTGAATTACCGTGTAAATAGCATTCGATAAAAAGTTCAGTCACAAAAATAATATTTCGAACGAACATATGCACAATCCGGGGTTACCGAAAAATCGTGTTTTTTTTTTTATTGCAGGATAACGTGACTGGTAGAAGCAGCCCTGGCACTGTTGCAAAATGCTTCCACTTACGCACAAGGATTCAAGAAACCTCGTTAGCCGGATAAAGGAGAAGTTATTAAGTTGGAAACGACTAATATTTTCTGATAAAAATACTAGGAATTTGTTTTTATTTCTTCTGCTAAATTTGTCCTTTGCCTTTATCGAATTACTGTACGGAGTATGGACAAACAGTTTGGGTTTAATATCAGATAGTTTTCACATGTTCTTTGATTGCACTGGTTTACTGTTTGGCTTGGCTGCATCCGTTATAACCAAGTGGAGAGCAAACGAACGATATTCTTACGGCTATGTCAGGGCAGAAGTCTTGGGAGGGTTTGTTAACGCTCTGCTTTTATTTTTTATCGCCCTTTTCATTATGTCAGAGGCTGTTGAAAGGTCCATAGAACCTCCAGAGATAAAACACGAGAGGCTTTTGGTTGTATCTATCATGGGATTGATAGTTAATTTAGTAGGAATATACGTGTTCCATCATGGGCACGGGCATGGCCATGGAGGGGGTCATGGCCATTCGCATTCTCATTCTCAATCTCACAGTGGCCATGGTCATTCTCACTCGAATCACACTCACAGCCATGATCATCACGACATTGAAATTGATCCTTCCTTCAGTGGTACAAACTCTCAGATTATGAAAGGAGTTTTCCTGCATATCTTAGCAGACACTCTAGGATCTGTAGGTGTAATTATATCAGCAGTGCTGATGCGCCTGTTTGGTTGGTTCATAGCCGATCCAATTTGTTCTATGTTGATTTCATTACTGATAGTTTTAAGTGTGCTTTCATTAATGAAAGATTCATGGGAAATATTAATGCAAAGGCAACCAGCAGTATTGGATCATGTTCTGCCACAGTGTTATAACAAGGTGACTCAACTGGCTGGGGTATATAGTGTACAAGAACCACACTTTTGGACACTGTGCTCGGACGTTTATGTCGGGTGTTTGAAATTAGAAGTGGCTAGAACAGTAGAGCCCAAATACGTTGTAGCGCATACGCAAATGATATTCCAAGCAGCTGGGATAAGGCATCTAACGGTCCAACTGGATTACGCACCTATGTGATCTACAAAAAACGTGCATGTCATAAAGTGTTCTTATAAGTGCTCCAAGACTGTATTTGTTTGCGGAGTCTGTCAAAAGCAAGCAAGGAACACTGCATTAGTGCAAAATATTTCTGCCATTTTAAAGTTGTGCAGATGCATTGTTTTGAGTAATAGTGAATACCATCTTGGATTACAAATTGTTTAAGAATATATTCGGTTATTGAAATCAGTGGAAATGATTGATATATTATATCATCATGTTCCCAAGGACTGTATTACAATTTCGTTTCAAAGTTCATTCCTCTTTTTGTTAATGTACATATAAATATCAGCTCATTTACTTTTGTCAACTACACTACTTTCCAACCAAAAGTCAAGAGTAATGGTTTGTATTATTTATTAAAGTCTTTGTATCAAATTGCATTTAAAGCTTAGAAATTATTGGTGTACAGCATTCAGACTTTTTTTTTATCTTTGTAAGACTAATTTAAGTCACATCTATAGGGATATTTTTATCTCTCCCTTCTTACTGTCTAAGTTTCTGTATATTACCGTTTGTAATGTAAAATCCGAAAAAACTATGATCAAGCGCGTGCAAAACGTAGAAAGATGAAACATTGTGTTTGCACATAATTACAGTGGCCAAAACCCATTTGCAGACAGCTGTGGACAGCTAGTCATTGCCACATGAGATCTGTGAAATATATACATATATATAAATGCAATTTTACAAAATGTAATATAAATTGATATTCTTACGTTTATACGAAGATTATGCTTTCCTAAAAATCGTATTTATTTTGTACATTCTGTTTTGTGTAAAATAAAATCGATATCAAGAAATTCATTCACACTTACCGCGTATTGATGATTGTTTCACAGCAGTGTGTCTGTACTTACGAAATACAGTGTAGAAGCATCCAGTAAATGAATCACTATTAATATTAAAGTAACTATACTGTAGAGAAGTTTGTTTAGAGACTGGCCGATAAAGATTGTTTGTAATGTTTGAGTTGATCGTCGTTGATCGGAACGGAACTACGAGGGCTCGTTAATTCAAATGTCCCGTTAGTGCGCATAATTTTTTATTACATATTTTATAAATACGCAACAAAGAAGTGACAAAAGTCATTTATCATGTTCATCGTTTTCACCAGCATTGTAACGTCTTCGATAGGCGATTGCCGAATTAGATTAACGAAAGATTTATTAACTATAAATCGTACGCGTGATCAGGACATTCCACGTAGTCGAGATAATATGATTTGTATACTTGAAGTTGTGATGACGTGAGCCAAAAAAAAATTAATGCAAACTTGTAGGAATAACGCGAAGGATTTTTGTATCGAGGTACTGTATCAACCTGTATGTGTAAAATGATTGAATAATTTGCGATCCGATAAGACCGGTACAATCTCCGAATTGAAAATCAACATTTGTTACGTTTTATCAGCGTTATTGTATAGATGAACGATGAAAGAGAATGTCCTCAGTATTGAGAGAGTGTAAATAAACAGAAATACTTGTACTAATAATAATTTGTCGTTCATTCTCTTTTTTGGTCGACCAGGAATGATCTATCTCTTGTATAAATAAATTTATTTCTCCTCTTTCGATCGAAACGGGTAAATCATTTCGAACTGCAGCCTTTCAAACACATATTACATTTATTTGAAGGATATGTATACACATATAAATACATAAATATTTATAATAAAATCGCTGAAGCTGATGCCACACGTAGACGCCTCGGACGATACGCGTGTGTGGTGTCAGTTTCAGTTTTCGCCGCGTTGATCGGTTCTTCTTTCTCGAACGGGCTCGTAAATTTAACAGATTGGATTTCAAACATCTCGCTTCGTCTCGTACGGTGTCGATCGATGCGTTCTTATATACATATAGCAAACTATCAAAAATGAAAAACCGCGCGAAACGCACGCCCCTGTGTATCTAATATGAGAACCGGAAAAGATGGGTCACACCGTTGTTACAACGAAACCTCGTAGACAAAGAACAGAAACTATTTAATTCGCGTTCGATCGTTTGCACGGATGGCCAATAAATTACGACGGTAGGAGGAGATGGGTTGTGGCCCCTCGGTGGATTTGCAAATATTTAGTCTGCTTTCTGTCTACTTGTAATGGAAGTAATTGTACGAAAAAAAAGGGAGGTGAGCATCGTGTAAAGTTGAACCGAAACCGATCGAATCGTCTCGCTGTTTTATTTCAAATTCGTTTTCAGGTGCATTGGCAGTATCGTGTTCCCCTTGCATGTCAGTGATAATGGTTCGCAAGGGATTGCGTGAAATCGCACCTAACGCTCGCATCGGTGATCAATGATCGATAGAAATCGTTGTAGAACCGCACGCTTATCCTAGGAAGTAACGAACTTGTGATTAATACCGATATAGACGATAGATCACGGTCGGGTCTAAGGTTTAATGATTTTGGCAGTCGTGTTGCACGTTTTTGCTCGTTAAGGTTTCATTTATACAATACAATAGCCACCGTTCTCTATATCGTGTACCGCAGAATTCGAAAATCGCGACGACCTTCTCGCTGGATACGATTTATCTACCCGCTACCACGTAGAATATAATATCTATAAAATTTCTTCAATTCTCAAACAACGCTCCTCATCCGCTAAAGCCATTTCACTCTTGGATCGTCGATTGCAATTCAATCGATCGTAACATTTGATAATCGTGATCAGAATATACTAATAATCATAGCAATAATAATTAATAATGATAATGATCGTAATAATGTCGATAATAATAATAATATATTACTCTGAATCGTATTTTACAGTCCATCTAACAACAACGAACGTATCTAGTTGCAACAGCCTCTTTCTTTTTCATCATTCTTTAAATATCTTTCGGTAATGCGTGTGTGTTGGTCGTTTGCAAGATAATTATTCTCTCCTCCGAAATCAAGGATACTTTTATCTTCTCTACGATTTAGACTTATCTCGCTGCGTTTAACGGACCGTCGAGGATACTCGAGCTACTAACGCTACGATCTATATGATTTTTATCGGTTAGGAGTGCGACAACGCGCGAAAAAGGAAATCACAGTAAGACGAAAATCCACAATGTGCCGACTTCGATCGATCTTCTTTGTCCTTAGCGCCTTTCCGTCGTAAGTAATCTTCTTATTCTACGTGCCTCTTATGGCTAAAAATCGTCGACGATACGCGCGTTCGACGTAATCGGCTCGTTTCCTTCTTATAACTACGCGTTTACGTACGTACCTCTTTTCAATTTCTCCATCAACCTTCCTCTCGAGAATCCGTTTCACCGGATCGGTGGGACACTAACAAAATCGTACGTAATCAATATGTCTCGACGAACAACTCCAAAACTGGACGTTTCTTCATCCTATATTTTCTATATTCGTATATTTTCCAACATTCAGCGTCGATCCTTCAACCTCCTCGTCGTCGTCGTTGAAAGTCAAGAAACTTCCGTGTCGCTGACAACCAAAAGATCCTAGGCGAGTTCTCACTTCTTCTTGGCCTTGCCGTTCTTCTGGATCTTGGTGATCTTCAGTCTACAGTTGGATCCACCGGTGTAGACTACCTCTGCCCTTCCACCTTCCACCACCGCGGTGACCAGAGCCTTCACGGACTTGACGTGCACATCCTTGGCGCTGATCTCCAACGAGGTGCCCGGATATCGGTCCCTGACGCACTTCCCGACGCTCGAGGCCTGCGTTTCCGTCAGCTCCACCGAGTCCAGGCAGAGCCAGGTGAGGTACTGCAGATGCGTCAGAATCGTCTGCACGAACACGTGCTCCATTTGCACCTTCTTCGCGCTGTCGTTCACTATCAGTCCGTTCGCTTTGAGGAAACTCAGGTTGCACAGCTTCAAGTATTTCGCGATCTGCCTCATCGTCTTCTCGCTGTCCTCCAGCGTCACCCGCCAGAAATTGATCCTCAGGGACTGTAGGTTCCTGAAATGAGTGGACAGACAGCCGAAGAACTGTTGGAGGATCTTGTCGTTGATGAACAATAGGGATCCGCTGCTGCCGCCTATGGTGGACTTGTCCAGAGAGAGATCGAGTTCGCTGAGGGCGGTGAAACCGGCGAGGAACGGCAACAGAAGCGGCCCTCGGAGCGCCAAACGATCGTTCACTGTTACCTGGTATCAGAAATAAGTAATCATTGTACCAAATGGAGATGACGACCAATTTTATCGAGAGAACTAGTTAGAAACAATCAGATCTATTTATTTTAACTACCAATCTAAAGAACTAGCTTGCGCGCGAGAATTTCGCCGGTGGGTCCCGAATTCGCTAAAATGCAACCGTGCATTACCGTATATCTTTCGTCCAATTTGACGCCACTATTCGTCGAGCGTGTAACGCGACCAACGAATCGTTTCGTTGGTCGGAAACCAGTTCTCCCCGACCAAGACGAATGATCTGCCGCGGTCAGGACGACCGCCGTTCGGACCGCGAACGAATCATCGACGGCCTCAAATTACGAATCGTCCGGTTCGAGTGGGCTCGAGTGTCTCGAATGGGCCGTGTCAGATCGTCGGGAACCCGATACATCGGCTCGCGTTCTCCCCGACAACCGTGCCCGTCGTTACGATCCGTTTCTGGTACACGCGTCTGTACTTAGGGTTATGGAACACTCGAAGAATATCAATGGAAGACGCTTGTAACTTTAAGGTACGCGGTTTCTTTATTCCCGGAACAGCGGTCATTCGAAATCTAAAACTGGAATCCTCGAGTCCCTTAACGCTAAACCTACCACGAACAAGTAAAAATTAGGTATCTCCGGGGAAGGAAGAATTTCACGCGAGAGGAAAAGTTTCTGGATAAAATCTAGTTTCTGTTCGATCGTCCCGGTATTAAGAAGGTACGGTTTCGTTGATTCGTTAAGGCGGAGCTGGCAATCTAATTCGTAATTGCGAAACTCACGGCGAAGTCAAGAGACCGGGGGGATCCCTTTCATCCAGCGAAGCCGGGACGTACAGCTGGAAAGAGGATTACTTACTTGAAAACCAGCCAGTCTGAGGAACACAATCGCGGGGCAGGCAGGAGGCGGCGCGGCTCTGAGGAGCTCGGCTCCGGCGTCGTCCCGACGCCCTAATCTCGCCAAAGGACCCTCGTGGACGGCCAGATGCAAGCGGGCGTTGCAGAGACTCAATTCGCGGACGCTCGTGTATCTGAGTAGCTCGGAGAATACCGCCAAGCTGTCCGATTCCTGCGAACACGGACACGTTTTTCGACTTAAACGACGGGCGCTTGTACCGTTTCGAGACGCTGCGAGCTATACAATTCCGTGGCTCGGATCCTTGGTAATTCTCACACCTTGGACGAACAGCTTTCTTGCAAGAACGATCCTCGCCGCGAAAGCTATCGATCGTGAAGCTTTATTCATCTTTTCATCGTCGAATCGTAATCGTTTAAACACGGAGTCGGAGATCCACCATTGCACGAACGCGTCGCGATGCATCGCGTTGCTCTGCAATAAGACGGGAACAAAGCGTGCGTCGCGAAGGAAGACAAGGCTCCGACGTTAATACGAAGTTAACAAGCTGCGAATAATCTACAAATCGGTTTCACCCTCGTTTCGATCGCCGCGCGGCGCTCGAACCGATCTAGCAAAGTTCGAAGACACGGAAAACCTCGGCGCATGGAGCGTCGAACTTTGTCCCGGTTCTAGCTCGAACGCCGCGAGTCTCTCCGGCGAAGATTGATATCGGTACACGCGTCGCCTCTAAATAGCACGACCTAATTAAACGACACAGTTCCGAGGGGGAGGCGTCATTAAGTGGCGCGACGCGACATCGTGACAGTTTGAAATTGATCTCGAACGGCGGGTTTCTGTTCGATCGAGACGACGGGGGCGGCTTCGTTCCACTTTGCCGCGGCTGGATGCGTCGCGACGAGGCCCCGAGCAATATTCCAAAGTACAGACGCCGCGGGGGATCGCGGGCTCAAGATCCGCCGGAGTCAAAGCGCGTTTTAAACGGATGACTTTGAACGGGGGCTCGCCGACCGCGAATCAGGCTTACCGGCATTCGGTTGACAGCCACCGAATTCCCCTTTATTTTCCAGATCGAATTTCGCGGTACGGTAACTCGAGTAGAGCGCATATAGTCGTCAAACGCTGCACGCCGTACTCTGGAGGATTCCGGCAGTCTCTTTCGACGCGAAACTGTTTCGATTAAACCACGAACGGCGAGGCTGGCTCGCTTTTGACGCACTCGGAACTGTTTGTTGCGGACATCGATCAGACTTTGATCGTCGTTGTCGCGGGCATTGCTCCCTTACGTAGGTGTCAAAGTTTTACTATATTTGCAAAGTTTTTCGAAACGTTTCAAACGTTGATCGGTTTAAATATTTATGGAGAGTCGTTAGAGTTGGGCGTCGGTGATCAGCTCGTTCTCGTTTTAAAACGTTTACTCGCCAATCGACGCAACAAGTGTCGCCTGGTATTTTGACGGACGATTTCTAATTCGCGGCCGCATAAAGTACACCAATTTCGTCGTGCCGCTCGGTCCGTCCGGTTTATAAACGGGACTAATGGCCCGAACGGCTGAAATTAATCCTCCGGGGAGACGCGACGGAAGAAAGTCCCCCGAATCTCGGGGAATTAAGAACATTATTTGGGGAATGCGGGAGGCCCGCGGGGCCGAGCAGTGCAACCGCAAAGTGACGTCGGTCTCCGTGATAAATCCACAAAGTTAACCATTCCCTGTGGCGCGACAAGTGGCGGAGGACATTTGGCAAATCGGCTCTCGTTTCAGCGGTTTCTCCGGGAATTATTAATGACGTCGGTGGCTTTCAACGCGAATTGCTGTACCGAGGCCGGTCCCCCCGCCCCCTCGTTGCATTGTCGAGCGTATGCAGAGTTTGTCAGGAACGTCATACCCGACACGAATCGCTGCGTAAACATGGCTCGCGAGCGCGCGGCTTTATCGCGGGGAACGATGCGTCGACGAGCTCGTGTTCGAAAATTGTTTTTTCCCCCCTGCCCCCCACCAGATAGCCGGGGACTTGATATCCCGTAAATTGGGCGGTTTTCATTGTTCGGTGAAAAATATCAGAGCGGTCGCATAAATTGCGCGAATCGGCGACCGGTGGCACCGTTCTTTTTAAATGAAAATCATCCCGGCTCGTGACAGCCCGAACAATAATGGTCGCGGGAGGAGTCGAGAGGGCCTCCAACGAGCTGCATTGTTTATAATCACCCTCGTGCGTTAAATTAAATCTGCCCGGGCCACCCTGCCCCCTCCCGCCTCATTGTTTCCGCGCGTGATATCGCCGAGTCGCCGGGAGGATTTTACGGTTGTACAATTTATCCGGGGATATTCCGTGAATTACGCGCTTTTCGAACTCGACCTCTACCCTCTTCGGTACGCGCGATCGCCCCTTGCGCGCAGTTTACCCTCGTTAACTCGCGCGGATTAAGCGTACGCGTCGCTGTTTCATCGATGAACCTGCTCCAAGGCGTTTAAGCGGGGCACAAAGGTTTGCTTTTATCGATTTCGAGCCGCGAAAATGAAACTTTGCTCTTTACGATTGACCACGGCACGCGTCAGGCGCGATTAGCTTCGTTGCTTGGCCGCGATTCGAAATACAAAGCACACGGTATCTTTCTCCGATCCTGACAAACGCGTTGGAGGATTTTACGAGCACGTAAACCGGCTGCTTTTTCCCCGAGGATTGTGTTTTATTATACGCGAACAAAAATATTCATGCAGTCGCGCGATCAAGAAACCCTCGTTTTCTCCAAACGTCTCCGGGCTGAGGCTAGGGTCGAATTTCAAGCTTCTACGACTTTTCACACCCTTAAAAGCAACGGGGGATATCAAGGGCTAGGAGGAGATTAAAAGGACCGTACTTAAAACCAGCTGGTTCTTCCCTTAGCGTGATCCAAGATCGATCGATTATTAAAAATGCGAGCCGGATCTTTAACCCCTGAACCCCTTGAGCTCCCGTCTCTTCGTTTGACGTTCGCTGTCCGTGAATATCGATTCGTGTTCGAGGTGTCCCATAAAGCGAGCTAAAAATGGAGGACAGACGGTGGATGGTTGGTTTTATGGTTGACTCGCGACGTTTCTGCCAAGACAATTTCTCCATAACAGGGAACACTGTTTCGAACACAGGTTTGCATAATGCTACGAGGAGCGAGCACGCGATACGTCAAGGGCAGTGGTATTCTCATGGTAATTTTCAAGCGATTCTCGCAGACGTTGGTCAGGGTTGCGTAGAAGGATTGTTTCGAGGGTCGGGAGAGCACCAGAATGGGATACCGCGTAATTTATTGCGGCCAATATTACCGCAACCCCCCAGTAGCACTATTTTATGACGGCTAAGGATCCCACGTGTCGCCCTGCACCCCTTCTATCGAGCAATTCAAATAAATCGTTACGCGAACGTCGTGGAATACCATTTAAAGCAAGTTACTTGGATGAATTCCGCAGAAATACCGGAGTTGCCTCGATTATTTCGATCGTCTTGTACGTCAATGCCCGGATAATTTGTGGAATTGTTCCATCAGTATACCCGAGTACCCCGTCTGCAAATAATTCGTACAAGTTCCTTCGATCGATTAACATACATTTTATTAGCGTGACCCCGAATAGATAAGGGCGGGCTTGTAAATCATCCGGGCCGTTTTGCATCCGTTCGAAGCGGATAATAAATAAGGAGCCTCTTCGAAGGAGCGTTTTACGAGTAATAGCTCGGTCGTTAGACTCGTCGGCGATGATCGATTCGTCCGTTTAATGCGCCCCCGTTCCTCCTGCATTCTATTTTCCGGGGGGGGGAAGATTGGTTACAGAACAACGTGGCCGCGTCTCGGGGCCCGAGCCATCGAGTTCCCGGCAGATTTAAGTAAATTGGATCACACGGACGAGTGTGCTCCCGGGAGCATTTTTAATAATGGAAAATCCATTTGGCCGTGTCGCGGATATATATCTTGTTTGCCAGCTTCCGTCGAGTATCGCCCCATCGTGGCTGCCGTTCGGTATCCGTACTTTATTTTCGCGGGCGTTGTTGCTTTTAAATAAATCAGCTGGCGCGGAGCAAACCGTCGCGATCGACCACTCGAATCCTCACCCTCTATTCGCGAAGAGAGGGCCCTCGATCCCCGATGGCTTCGTATTCGATTTAATTAAATTCTACGAGTATTAATTAATTTTGCCACTCGGCGATTCGAATAGGCGGTAGACTCGCGACAAATAGAGCACGCTTCCGATCCTCCAGACCTCGAGATGGTCGTTTTAACCCTTTCGTCGAAAGTGTACATTTTCGCGGGCGAAAGAGTTAACCGGCGACGCTCTTGTTCCAAGTTCCCTTTGATTTGAACGAGAATCTAGTTTCGTTTATTTCGCCGGGACACCGTCGGCGGAGGCCGGCTCTAGACAGCCATTAGCGCAGCCCTTTCGACGCGCGGCGGATTTAAATAAATAGATTGCAGCGTTGCGACGTCCCCGCAATACGTTTTGAATAATGGAGTAAGGGGTTCGCGCATAAATCTCGCGCGGGGCGAAACTCGCCGGACGATCCTCGAGCGAACCTGGATAAACCGTGACCCGTCTTATCGGGGGAAAGACATTTGCTCTCGTTTCCTTCGTATCAATCCTTCGGGCAGCCCAGACCTGGGCTCCTCGATGCTTTCATCATCGTGAAACGCCAAAGAAGGCGAACTACAAATCGAATCGAACGGAGAGACCATTTTGGTGCTCGGTGTAAAAGCTATCGAGGAAAATAAACGGAGTACCGGGCCCGGGGAACAAAGGACGCGAGTCAATAATTTGAAATTTCATAAAATTTTCAACATCGACTCCCACGAGTGCACTTCTTTCTCTTTTAAACGTCCAAGTAACCCTCGTATAGTTGTGCTTCCAACGCGTGATATTTTATTTTAATTTGGTAATTATAGTGAACGTATTAGAATGAATTCGTGTTGTATAAGTACCGTGTTACACGGGGGATTGACTGTTTTCGAAATCCCAACCCCCCGGTCGATCCGCGAGCCGGCGGTGGAAATAGACTTTGATGCGCGGCGAGTAGAAGAGTAGCGATTATGGTCAGACGTCGCAGTTACAGCGTGTAATTCCTCTCGTTCGCGCGCCAGCGGACCGTGGACGACTCCTGAATTTCATTTTCGTCCAGCATACCGTAATTATACGTTCTCAATTAAAGCAGGAAGTTTGGAACAACGGGATCAGTGGAACGGCTCAACGGTTGGTCAGACTCCGGAACATCGTAACTAGCTTTTCGCTCGAATTTCGAATACCAAATTTTTCGTGCGCCAACCAACTACGAAACGTAGAACACGCGTTGCAATTAGACGCTCCGTAACCCAATTGTTCCGATGTTTCCGTAGTTTTTAACCGAGCAAGCAGCGAAACTTTGTTCCTTCGTACTTGGGAGCTACTCTCATGATTGGTCACATTAGAACGAAAGAATCTTTGTTACTCCGTTCGAAAGAAATTAAAGTTTCCACGGTGATTCCTTCATGGCAATTAGCGAGGAGGACAAACACGAGTCGCATGCTCTTCGTCTCTTTTCTTCCCGGTTGTAGGTGGTCTGGAATCACCGATAATTAATTATCCAACTCCGGGCGTAATCCATGAATGCACCAGGTAGGATTATCCCTTGGCCGTGTTCTCTGTCTCCTCGTCTGGTTTTTGGATGGTCTTTCCGCCTTACCGAGGCACTCGTACCTCACCGGAGATAATGGCTCGTCGCCAACAATGGACCGGCAAGATAGAGCAAGAGCTAGGAGGTTAAGAGGTTCAATGGAAGGTACCGAGAAACGTATTTATGTTATGTACATACGCGGAAATCTCGAGCTGCAGTCAGTATGAGACAAACCAGCCGTCCGAGGCTGTTCCCCTGATCGCGAATCGCGTCAGACGGGACACTTAAACTTTTTCGACGCGTTGATCGAACTTAAGGAACGATCTTTCATCCGTGTTATTAAAATTCCATACTCCATTGCGATAGAGCGACAGTGATACGCTCAAATCCCGATGATTTCGATCTCCCGGGTAGAAAACCGCAGGGTTTCCGGGCGATTCTTTTTACGCGGCGAGGAGTTATCGTTACTAGACCCTTGGTACTCCATCAGTTTCTTTCACGGATTTCTCCGTTCGCAACTTAGTCGAAATCCCAAAGATTGTAATCGGAAGGACCTCTTTTCCACCTGATATCGATCGTTCGATGTCTTGTAATTTGGTGTCCTCTTAACAATCGGAAGGCGAACACGATGGATTCTATTTGTACCAAGGACTCGTACCAGTTACGTGATAAAATAATAGTAACAGAAGTCAGAGGTTCAAGAGCTACATAAGGAAACGATTTTTAGAAACGTGGACTCACCTCTATTCGGAACGTCCAGCCCTCGAGGCTGAGCAGTTTGAGGGTGGTGTTCCTGGCAAGGGCGTGACACAGCAACCGCGAGGGATGATCGTCGAGGGCAAGTCGTGGGCTGGCTAGATCCAGAAGTTGCAGACAGGGCGCCTCTGTCAGTGCCAGGACCAACGGCATCACGTCCGCTGGCCTCGAGACGCCGGCAGCTCTCAGAGCATCCAAATTGCGCGCCCTTCTGATGGTCTCTCCCAGGCAACCCGCATCCAATCCGTCGTTCAAACACTTGGACACGTTCAGGGACCTCAGCTTGCAGTTTGGTTCTCTGAGGCATCGAGAGCAAACCGGCATCGATTAGGTGCATGATCAAGCGGTGGTTAAAATTCTAAAGTAAAGTTTTACGAAATAAAATGTCTGGCCGATCTTTCCTTGTCCCAGTTATACGGGAACAGAGCGTATCGATACCGTCGAATTCTCGTTCCCTTCGAGTATCGTAGCATAGATAATTAGGGGTATCGTGAATTCTGTCAAGAGAGACGGTAAATTAGCATAGGAAAAGTACACCAATAACAGGAGTGCCTGTCGCGTAATCGATAGCTCGCGTATAACGAAACGGGTCGGGCTCTGACGCAGATTTCCAATTTCCCTTCAATTTCTCGTAGATCCCAGCACGCCAACGACGCGACATACTTCGCGTAATACGGCGAACGCAACCAATTTTCCTAAAGTACGATGTACAAGGTAAACAGAGGATCGATACAATCCCCGCGAACATCTTCTCAGGGGATTCTTTCGACTTGTCCGCTCGAAAGCTAGAGAGAATATACTGGCCTACTTCTTTTTATTAATCGGGAGGGTACACTTGTAATTAAGAACCGGCTGATCCACCGGTCGAATATTATAAAAATAGGTCCGAAACGAACCGAGCTCGCCATTAAAGATCTGTTGTACAGGGTTAGGTATATGAATTCAACCACCATTGTAACTCAGCACAAACATATATATTATATCACTGTAAAAATAAAAATTATAGAATACGTGGTACATTCCATATTGCATTCCATATTGCGTTCTCAAAAGTACTGACCCCGAGACCGAGGTCTACGTACATAGCAATCATAAATGAAACTAACAATTTTTCGATCTATTATATTTGGCATGTCATCTACCACTGTATGCAAAGTAGCATGTCCTTTTGAATTTTCCTACAGACATCTGCTGACCGCTGCTGTCCATTCCTGAGACTTCTGACAACATATGACGATTACTACTGGCTATTGCCAGCCTCTCCATGTCTCTGCTGACTTCTGCTGGCCTCTGCTGACCACCGCTAATATCTCTGACAACGTATCACGATTACTACTGACTTCTGCCAGCCTCCGCTGGCCCCTGCTGACCGCTGCTGACCACTCCTGATACTTCTGACAACGTACAACGATTACTACAGGCTACTGCCAGCCTCTGATGACATCTTCGAGTATCTCCTGACGTCAGCTGCCCTCAGCTGCCTTCCCCTGACCAGTGCTGACCAGTGCTAACATGATATATATGTAATAACGTTTGTGTAATATAAATATACGACAATAAATGTTACAATTTTAAAAAATATTATGTCTTCTCGTCATTTTTTACCTTTCTTCACCTCTCCAAACCATTCCCTTAGTTCTAAGATGCGTACCACCTTCTACGCAAGGTCGCTAAGTTTTTTTTCTGAAACCGTCACTCTGGCACCTGCTGGCAAAATCGAGAATTCATTCTTTTCGTTAAAAAGTCCTGAAACAATTGGAAAGTCCTGAAACAGCTGAAAAGTCCTGAAACGGCTGGAAAGTCCTGAAACAGCTGAAAAGTCCTGAAACGGCTGGAAAGTCCTGAAACAGCTGGAAAGTCCTGAAACAACTTGGAATTTTGGAACCCCCGAATCAGTTGGAAAGTCCTGAAACAGCTGGAAAGCCCAGAAACAGCTAGAAAGTCCTGAAACAGCTGGAAAGTCCTGAAACAACTTGGAATTTTGGAACCCCCGAATCAGTTGGAAAGTCCTGAAACAGCTGGAAAGCCCTGAAACAGCTAGAAAGTCCTGAAACAGCTGGAAAGTCCTGAAACAACTTAAAATTTGGAAATCCCGAACCAGTTGGAAAGCCCTGAAACAGCTGGATAGCCCTGAATCAGCTGGAAAGTCCTGAAACAGCTGGAAAGGCCTGAAACAACTGGAAATTCCTGGAATTTCTTGGAAACGCCGAAAATTCTTGGAAATCCTGAATTTTTAGCAAAGTTCTGAGTTTCAGGACTTCCTAGTGGGTTCAGGGAAACGAAGGAGTTTCAGGGAATCTTATAACTAAGGTAATGATTTGGAGAGGGAAGGAAAGGTAAAAAATGATGAGAACACATAAAATTCTGTTAAATTATATCATTTATTGCCATAGATTTACATTATACAAGGTTTAATACATATATATCATGGCAGAAGTTGTTAACAAGGGTCAGTAGTGGTCAGCAGGGGTCAGCAGGGGTCAGCGGGGGTCAGTAGGGGCATGCAGAGGCAAGCAGAGGCCAGTAGAGGCATGCAGTGGCGAGCAGTGGCAAGCAGAGACCAGCAGGGACAAGCAGTGGCATGTAGTAATCGTTATACGTTGTCAGAAATATCAGCAGTGGTAAGCAGTGGTCAGCGGAGGCTAGCAGGGTGTTGCAGATACCAGGAAAGGCCAGCTGAGGTCAACAGAAGCTAGCAGAGGCCAGCAATACCTGAGGAGACCATCAGAGTCCAGCGTTAACGCTTCTGTTTCACGATTACAATGTATAAAGTCCAGGGCCGAGCCATCGCTCCATAATGCATCGATCCCCCGTTGCTCCAAACGAAGTCGGTCAATTAAGAATTTTCATCGAGAAAATTCTTCCGGCGACGGAAGTAACGGACCGGGAAAATTCAATTGGCCGTCAGAAGACGGACAATTAGCCCAATAATCGTTGATCGATCGGTGCGAATTTGCAGGAAAGGTTAAAATACGGATGGTCCTCGATTAATCGGGCCTTGTAAAGAACAGTTGTTGGGTTATCGTGGACGTTGCGTAAGCGAATGGACGCGAACGTGGGCGTTCGTGGAATAAAAATGTCGCCGACGCGAGAATGGTTTTGTCGAACCTATCGTCTCCGACTGTCGCCAAGTCTGACACGGAGTGAACTCGGAGTAACGCTTAGAGCTGGCACCTGCATTTAACGGGGACAATTTAAGGAGGTCGATTGTCTGGCTGGTCGGGATCGCGTCTGGATTTAATGGTATCTACTGGCCGAACGATATTTACTCGGCTATTAGCGTGGTACGGGTTGCCGGTGGTCGGGGGTACAGCTAATGGCGCGCCTTTAATGGTATCCAGCACGAGTAAATCCGCTCGAGTACCCTCGACGTATCTATCGCAGTAAAAATATACCCAGAGAACGGTAACGTGCCCCCGGCCGTGCTTTGAATCGCGAGCGAAAATAAACATTTTACTCGGCCCGCTCTCGGCACGGATAAGCCACTCGGCCAATAAAAGCGATACTCTAAATCAAAGCTCGTATCGGTCCCCCGTTTCTCTCGATTTCAGCCGCGTATTGGCTCTTGCCGAGAAAACGCTAGCCCGTACGATTCTGTGGAAATAAACGACCATGGCAGAGGCAATGGATCACAGGCCGCGCGACGCGTTTTAGATACCGCGTTTCAGACGAATTGATTTCCCTTTTCGAGCAACGACACCAGATCTAACCCTCCGTTCGAAACACCATCCTGCGTTCGACGAGGGGAAAATATCCTACGCCCTTGTAATTAAATAAACAATTTATGGTCCAGTTGTATCGTACACCTGTCGTATAATCAATAGGAGTTGCTGAAACGTCTTTGGGTATGTAGAGTCAAAGTCAATGTTAAAATAAACATAGAAGACAGCATGGAAAATAATAGTTCATACGGTCATCGGATAGGGGATGAAATGCCCTTTAAAATGAGCGGTCGAACGAGTCGATAGCTTTATTAGTTCCGGAGATAGAAGGGTTCGAAGCGTTTGTTTACGTCGCGAGGTCATTGACCACACGTGCTCGTAGTAAGTAGTAAACGTGACGTCACTCATTCACTCGGTCAGTGGGTCAACGTGCGACAAAGAGGTCAGACGCGACGCCTCAGACGGAGACAGCGATAGTCGAATTATGAAAAATTACCATTTTCATAAATTACGATACTTCGACAAAAACCAAAAGCCATTTTAAAGAGGAAGCTTTGACGCTGTCGAAGGATAGTAATTCGACGCGCGAATCGCGCCCGAAAGTCTAGGATGTCGTAGCTTTGGAGAACGTCTGTTTGTAGAGACAATACGTAGGCGGTAGGAGACACGTTATAGAATTTCCAACTCGTATCGCGTTACCGTCTGGAAGGAACGCGACGAGAGAAAGTAGAAGTCGATGGAAACGCGTAGCCATTGTATCGCGTAACGAGTTAATTGCGCTGCTTCGGGGCTTCGAGTCGTCTCGTAATTTCCTTTTAACTACGCTCAAAGAAGATTCTCCAAAGTTCCGGCGCGGCCCGAGTATAGCCCAGGCTAGTTCGGATGCTTAACGACGTTAAATGCCCCGCGTTTTGTACGATACTTTTCCACTTTCCACTTTGTTCTAACCAGCTCTTTCTTCGAGTGTATCGGACGATACGACCAGCTACGAAACTTCGACCCGAAACTTTTTTCACGATGTAAATTCCGATCGGTCCGAGTAAGCGCCAAAAAGTTCCGTCTATATTCCGTCTCGAACTCGAAAACACGACGTTCGAGACGCAAGGGTTGTAAAACGGGGATTGAAAATGGACACCGGACTCGATTCGCTCTCGGTGCGTTCTAATTGCAAAGTTTTGCCCGACCGTTTTTATGGATTTACGTGGAACATTCGTTTCTCGAAGCTCTTTAAAATAGCTGTTTACTGAAAGCCGTCGACTAACAAGAAATTCTTTTCATTTTGATCCGTGGAAAAACGAAACGATCGTCCTTTGCCCTTTTGCCTATTCCGTCGCGCGATCGTACGTTTTCCTTGGTCCTCGTCCGGCTTGTTTTTCTTCTGTTGCGTTTCAGCGGATCGAAAACGCGGCTTGCGAGAAGATACGCGCGGCGCACGAATAGCGGCAGTGATGTTTTTAATTAAAAACACGAGAACCGGACCCCAGGCCGGATGACGCGAGTAAATTGGAACTCCCACGGGAAAAATATTCCCGAGATTATTTCTCCGTGCCCGGCTGATTCGCGTGCCGGCGCGATTCGTTTGCCTCCTTCGTCGACGTCGCTTTTGCTCGTTAATTTCTGGCGCGTTTAAGCCGAACCTCCCCCCCCCCGAAAATATGTTCCCATTAAATTCTGCGACGCGGAGTCGGAAGTAATACGAGGCGACCGAGCTAGTCGGTGAACGGAACGTTAACGAGGTAACATAATATTCCGTTTTCGCAACTCTTTTTATGCGAACGCGCCGTCCGAAAATCTCGCGACAGGAACGAACGAACCACGAAAATCGACCGGACGGCTACAGATATATAATTACCCAGCAGCGGTTCGACCCCTACTTTCATTACTTTTCTTATCAAAGACGGCTCTAATAATAACAAAACGACGTCGTAATTAAATTTCAATTATGAACGGCGATGGGATGTCGAGGGAACAAAGAAGACGGGGACAACGTGGGAGTTGTTTCTCGCGTTTAATGGTCGCTGCGTCAAGATTTGTTCGTAAACGACGAAACAATGGGGCGGAGCGGTGAACTATGGCCGGTCGGCTTCCGGTTTCGCTGCGTGTTTCGACGCGCGACGTATCGCGTTCTGGCCCGCGCTCGTAAAAACGGATTCGTAAAGGCGAAAGTGCCTCCTTTCTTCCCGCCTTTTCATCAAACCGCCGGTACAAATGGTACCCCGGCCACGGGCGTGCAACAGAGGAAAAGCGTGGCCGCCCATAATACCTTTTACACCGTGCCGTTCCCCATTTTTCCTCTTCGCTTTACATACGCCGCGTCTTTTCGGTTTAAATACACCGAAATCGTTTCGTCGGTTCGTTGCGCAACCTTCACCGCGCGAATTGGAATTTGTGGATTAAAAAGCAGTGGCGATTTTGGACCGTTCATATCGCGTTGGCGACCTGCGCAGCGGTTCGCCAGAAGCTCCGCGCGGCGGCCCCGGCGTTCGAAGAATGTTCGGTATTCGTTTATAACATTGCGCAACGAAAACTGTCGGCGGCGAGATTATTCGACGCGGTTGCGCCGTGGAATTCTCGTATAAAACGTCCTCCCTCCGTTGACGTCCGTATTATAACGCGTAACGAGGGAGAAAGAATTCCATTATGGAGCCGCGTAATGGGAAAACGAACGTCGCGTTACGGAGAGAAAAGGGTTGTCCGAAACCACGTGTGCGGGGAACAATAAACGGTTTCCAGGTGACGAGCAGGTGAGGGACTGAAATTAACGCGCGACCGATGAATGCCACGGCCAGGTGACAGAATTTTATTCCGTCCGCCGACAGAATATTTAAAAGCTCTTTTCGAGCCCCGAACGAATACCAAGAACAGGAAACGTTGCCACCGCGATCACGTAACAACGACGTTGTAATTATTATTAAACACACAACGCGGTGTAATTTGAATATTCCTCTAATGTTGGGGAAAACCAAGTTAACTAAGAATGCACACGATCGTAAAGACTACCTCGGGCGGCTGACTGTTGTTTGTACGAACATTCGGCTGGGAAAATTCGGAAACGCGGGGGACAACTTTCGCAATTTCAACGACCTTGCGAGAACGACGTTGACGCAATCCTCTCTCTGATCCTTAAACTCCTCGTCTAACAATCGTCCATCCGGAAGGCGAGAACCGCCTCGCGGAACTTCCCGACGGAAGTTCGTATAATTTCCTGAATGGCCACTCTCGTTCGTCTCCTTAATTTCCATAACTCATTTACCGGCCGTTCGGCAACCAAATCTTGGAAACTTTCCGGAGAACTCAGAGCCACGGTTCGTGCTCCACTCCGCGGCCCGAAGTTGCCCGAGAAACGATGCTCGACTGGAAAAGTTTCGTGTTTCTTACACGGTCCTCCAAAATGAAGATTCGTGCGAGTAACGTGACCAGTTAACCACCGAATTTTATCACTTTTAACGAGGATAATTTACGTATACCAATTCGTAAAGCTCCCGGATAAAAAGGTACTCCGGGATCTCTGTACGTTGCAAGATAGAAGCCCATCGGTATAAAAGGGATTCAATTGCAACGAGTGCAGTAAATTTCGCGGAAAGCGATCGCAAATCATCGAATAATCTTGGAAGTGGCCTCGCGAGCGAATAAGTTTATGTAAATCCTCACCTGATGGCGTTGAAGATCTCGTGGAAGCCGGTGGTTCCTTGGTGGCTGCTGACGTCGCAAGTGGGCAACGGGTGCAATAGGGGCAAACGATGGCACAGCACGCTGTCGCTGTTCCTCTTGCTGCTTCCGTTGCTGTCCCTGTCTCTGTCGTTTGGCGGCAGTGGCCCGTTTCCGGTGACGGGCGCGGGACCAAGGCCAAGACCCAGCGGAAGTCGCGGCAGGGTCGCGGGCCTCGTTAAGCTGCCGTACGCTGCCAAAGCTCCCCGCGGAAGGGACGAGTAGCACCGATTGAGGGGTAGCGTGCCAAGGGTGCTGGAAGCGCAGCCGCTACTTCCGGAACCAGACCCCGAACCTACGCAACAATTTCAACCGTCTCATTTCCGCGGACTGGGTTACCCGCGGATTACGAGCGACACGCTCCTTCGACGCGTTCGGAGAAACTTAGTTTCGGGGTCGTTGATCGTCGGTTTAGCCGGCTCTGATTGCACGGAATTCGCGTGCAAATTTTGCACGCGTCCGTCCTAATCCCGGAGCATATAAAACTATATCGTTCGTCGCCGAGAACCTCCAGATATTATCGACTATGAGAAACTACCGAGCGCCCGAGCAACGTCGTATTTCTGTTTGGAGGCAGTCGGTCTAGCTAGCAGTCGTCGGTGTAAGGAAGTCCGTGAGATTCCGTGTGGCTGCATAAGCGCGAGCGACATTAGACTGCATTAGACGAGACACCGTGAGCCCTTAAGCGCGTTCAGCCGAGTTTACTGGCCCGTAAAGCCTCCTCCCTCCGCGTAGAATTAATATAAACGAAGTGTACAAGCGAGAAAGGTAGCGTCGTCGGCATCCACGCGTTGCTAAGCGGCTCGTAAAATAACCGACAGACCCGGGATGCCGGCAGGAAGCGGTTACGAAGGGAACTCTATTAAGGGCCTCCCTCCTTCTCCTCGTGCTCGAATGTCGTTCCAAGATAATGACTTCAATGACGAACAATGCGCGGAGTGTCGTCGCGCGGGTGAACGTACTGCTAAATAAAAAGAGAATCGCCTCTTTTCAGATATTCCGTTCGCTCCTCGGGACAAGTCGCTCCCTAGTTCTTCTTCGTTTCAATGTGTGTTTCATTCGAACAGAGTTACACGACGGCGTAGCCTCGCGACGAGTGTATTAAAGTTACAAGCATTTTTAAGGGGAAACGTTACTCCGTCTCGATGGACGGCGAGGACGACGTCTCGCGCACGCTCCGATTATATTATCGCGGACAGTGAAAAAACTTTATCGCGAAGAAGCTGCGCGCGTCACTCATTGGCTCGTGCTTCGAATGAAAAGCATAAAATGTTTACGAGTCGAGGCGGCGTCGACGCCAAGAGAATTTCTCAAGTCGATCGTTCGCGACGCCTTTGGTCGATAAAACGTGGCGCGTCAAGTTTTCAAACCCCCGCGGAAAAGACAAACACCAATAAAATCCGGTACAGTTTTCCCTCCCCCGTTACTTTATCAGTTTAATGCAGGAGTTGAAAATTGTTCCAGGCGCTTATTAATAAAGCCGGCGATCGTTGCGAACCGTTCAAGCCCAAGAAGGAACAAAGAGAGCATAGTTTCTGGGTCGAGATCGTGTCCGAGTCGCGGAAACGATAACGTCGTTAGAGCCACGAGCATTTTCGAGGACTTCCGTCCCGCGATAGGTTTAATTCGGCGCTCGTTTCGGATTCGAGCAGAGTTAACAAACTCCTTTTTGGACGTGATCTCGTAGAGATGGGCGTACGTGCCCGCCACGGTTTACCGGAAATTCGGCACAGCCAGGCGCCGATGAATTCCAAACGGAATATTAATTCGCTCCCCCCCCCTGAGAGCCCCCGTAACGTTCCACGACTACGTCGCTGGAATTTTTGCGAATCGTCCGGCTAACATTTCATTAACTTGGCCGCCGCCTCCGACAAGTAACGGACAAACGTCGTATTAATATCTCTGTTGATTTTACGGGACGTCTGGCTGAAGCTCGGAAGGGAACGTTCCCGGGAAAATGGAGAGCGACGGTTTGCACCAGGAAATGAGACCCGTCGTTGGAGAGCTTTCGGTAGGAATTCCTGACTGTCGACTCTCGTTAAGGAAGCTTTGGAACGATTACTAACGAGAGAACTAATAGCAGTCGAATGTAATAAGCAACCGCCACATCCGATGCTAGGATTATTTATCCCCTAAGGACGGAGGCGATAAAATCGTTCGTGGACGACTTAGAAATAGAGGAAATATGACTTGTTGCGTCTTCGATCGCTATTTGCGTATCAACTAAGCGTTACTTCCTCCCGCTACATCGCCTTGAGAAGCAGGAGCGACGATAACATCGCCAGCTACTTGTTGCTGTTCAGAAATAACGGAGTTACTCCCCCCGTTATCGGCGATTGCTGACTGGAAATAAACGCGAGAGGCGCGTCTATCGTCGATGCAAACTTGCCAGAGAAGGATTCAAGAATTTTGTAACGAGTGTAGAAGCTTGGAAGAATCCGTTATTAATATCGTACGAAAGTTTCTTGGGGGGCTGCGGAGTAAAGGACACCTTCGATGCGAAAATGGCACTCCGTTGGTAGGTAGCTCGCAGTTTTTGTCGCGCCGTCGACGACGAATTTACGCGGTGACCGCAGTGCCTCGGACAAAAACCATTTCCCGTTCTAAAGGCGACGTAATGGCCGTTTCCATCGCGCACGGTACATTGGACACGAACGTTCCTCCCCCGTTCCGAACCTGGTTTAATTCCGGGTCGAGCCCCGCCGAGTATTCATTTCTCGGAGTTCGTTTAACCCCGCGGAAAGATTTATTATTGTTTGAAAAAGGGCATTCGACGCGCGACCATCGTGGTTTCTCTCCGGTTCCATCGAACATGTCGCATCGTTCGGCCGAAGTTTCGTTCGATGCTCGAACAGAAGGCGGAAACGAGTCCCCGTTCGATTAGGTTTCGCGCAGACCGCGTTTCCGTCTTATCGAAAGCGCGTCTCGTGTTACGGGCGCGAACAACGCGGTCGCGTGTCCACCGATGGATTAATTACGTGCGCCAGCAGCCGGTGGAAACGCGGTTCCGCGGTCACCCGAATGGCTTTCGAACGGCTGAAAAGGCTCCGCAGGAAAAGTGGGAACAATTTATCGGCGTGGATGGCCGAAAACCGAACGAGATTTCTCTCGCGTCGAGCGCTCCGCGGTGGCTCCGTGGACCGGAAACGACTAATCCTGCGAGACGTAACGGAGAGCCGGATCGTAACTTGTTTAGAGGAATTGCTGAAAAGTAAAAATCGCTCGGGTGGACGTCCATGGAACTCCGGCTGCAACGAACAATGCACCGGTTGCTTTTAAGGCTTTCAAGACCAACGTATTTCATGTTCACCTCGTTTTTTTTTTAACCTGACGCGATTGAATTTCGCGCGATCCGAACGGGGCTTGTACCTCTCGCAAATAAATTCGAAACTTTTCGATGGTGTTCGTGAAACTTTAACTTTTTCCCGATGCAACACGGCGTTTAATTCTCTTACGGTCCTATAAATATTATTGTCGTGGAGATATCGGTGGTTCGCGAGCCCCGGGCACGCTTAGATTCGCTGAAGATCGCGAGTTGATAATTTCGCGTCGTTACCGCGAAAACGTGGCATCCAGTGACAAATTGCCGATCGATCCGGTTACCGGTGGCATAAGCAAACAGCCCGTAACTCGAAGAACTTGAAGCACCTTGGTCGGAACTATTAACAGGCTCTCCGACACCGTCGAAGAACAACACGGAAGCGTTTGCATCTCCTTGCCGGCGACTCCCCACCCCCGCTTTTCTCTCTCTCTCTCTCTCGTGCTCGCGTTAATGCTGGATCGCTGAACGGTTTGTTCGCGATCCCTCCCGCGAAACTTCCGCGAACGAAACTTTCCGTTATTAATGTCTCGAGTTTGCCAAGTTCCCTGGCGAGTGATACGCAAACAGAGACGCTCGCTGATGGGTCTTTTTTTCGCGAGATAGAGCGACAGGAGTTGCGCACGACTTTTGAACCGGACTCCGTTTAACGCGCCAGCCGTGCCCCGCCGAGTTGGATCGCCGAATTTATCGCGATGAAATTAATTCAAAACTTTTCCGTTAATAAGGAAAATCATTAGAGCGGTCGTTTAGAACGGGGAAAGGTCGATCGTGGTTTTCAGAATGTGACTAAGTGGTTTCTGAGGCCGCAACGTGACGGAAATTTGGAACGCAGCGTTCTTTTTTGGAGAGCGGGGAGATTAAAACGTCGTGATAAGGGGCACCCGAATTCGAGCAAAGCGTGCCTTTTGTCCGTCGCCTGGCGCCATGTCGCTAAATAACCACTCAAGACAGATAATGGAGGCGCACGCGCGGATTAAGGACCTCCATTTGCCGCACAGCGAGAGGGAAGCTTGACCCAAATTATCAAAGAACGTTACGGGTTCTGGTTGCATCTAAATTCATTCGCTTCTGCCACGCTGAACGAGCGGAATCGCAAAGGGAATAATAAACGACCTCGAGCCTCCTCCATCGTTTAATTCTTTCCTCTTCGATTTCATTAAAGTCGAGAATAGCTCGCGTCGCGACCCGTTGGATAATTACATGATCCGTTAAAGCGGGAACAAAGGATCACGCGTTCTTCGTTACGCCGAAATATTTCGCGAATCCTGCATCGCGATCATCCGTCGAACGTTCCACGGAAATAATTATCGGAGAATGCCAATCGACGAAGAGATTCAATTTCTCCGCGAATGGAATTCCGCCGCGCAATAGCTTATACTTCCGCGCGACGATTCTGTTCTGCCTTCCAACGACGACAATGGAGTATTTCCTAATTGCGTTTACCGTTTCGAACGGTAACGAACGATATATTCCGACGGCGAGATCGCGCCGGACAGCCGTTTAAAATCTAAAATCCGTGGAATCGACATATCCACGCGGACCGGTTTCTCGAAGCGTTTTGAGCAAGAAGCAATTCGATCTATAAATCACGATACGGTCGTTCGTTGCACGTGCCCCGATGACTCGTCGATCATACGATAAATTGTCCGCGAGTGGTCGCGGGAAACGGGAAAAATCTTAAACGAAAGCTTACATAATTCACGTGACTGCTTTATCGGAGTTCCAGACAAAGGGGGGTTTATAGTATTCCGGAAGCTCCAACTTGTAAGGTAATCCGGGACGATGGAATACAGTTAATCGCGAAAGTCCATGCAGCCGGGATCCGAAGAGATTTGTAACCCGAATCTCCGGAGGAATCAAAGCCCGAAATTACCCTCCTTAGCGTCTCGAGCCGTTACATTGTTTTCCAGTTCGTTGCAGCCTCGTTATCAGGAGATTCATCGAAGATCTGGTACGAGGCGAATTGATTAAAATCCAGTGGCGGGAGCAAATAGGCGTGCTCGAGTACGGTGCAGGCTTTATCGAGCTTGGAACACCGTCGAGAGATCCGAGTATGCACGGATACGCTCTCGAGATATGTCCAAGTTCATCCAGCAGCCAACAATGGACTCGCGCGAAGGCGAAAGGAGGAACAGAAAGACTGTAATTTCGCGGCCCGCTGAGGAAGGAATTTCAACGTCGACGAGGCGAATCGCATTTGGATTCGCGATGAAAACGATCGACCACTTAACTACTGTTGTAATATTGAAATTGTATTATCTTTTTTAATAAATTTATTTGACACTGCACAGAAATGTTGTCCAATACTTTTTTGTAGATGAACCTATTAGCTCTCCTTCCATACTAAATTTCAGTGACATACGTTCGCTATTGTGGGAGTGATGGTCGTTTGAAAATTGGAACCCTTCTATGGGGGTTTTTCTCACTTTACGGGGTCAAGGAACTACTTGTCGACATTTTTTTGAATTTCTACATATTCTCCATTAAAATACGCGTCGTTTGCCGCTTGAAACATTAAAATCGTCCAATCCGTTTAGGAGTTATGACGTTTTAAAGATACGCATGAAATTTCAGTGAAACATATCAACGGTACGGTCAGACATCATATTTTTTCAGGAATTTTTTTCTCGAAACTGAGCAGGATTTCGGGGGTATGTATAATGACCAAAAATGAGTGTAATTGACCCCGGAAATTGAAAATAATTTTTCTAGAACGATTTGAAATTTTTTAATTTTGTCGAATTTTTTTCTCGAAACTGAGTAGGATTTCGGGGATATGTGTAATGACCAAAAATGATTGTAATTGACCCCGGGAATGGAAAATAATTTTTCTAGAACGATTTGAAATTTTTTAATTTTGTCGAATTTGTTTCTCGAAATTGCGTAGGATTTCAGAGGTAAGTATGTTCATATCACGATGACACGATGATATTCCATCAGTGTTTTCCGAACACTATCACTTTGTGACGTTTCGCCCTTTGTGGAAGACAATTTAACAAATTACTATGCCCCAGGCTGTCGCAACATGGCAGTATACTACTGTTCCATTCCATTACAACTAATCTTAAGCTATTTACAAATGATGTTCTCGGTGCCGTTGTATCACACCTATTTCAAAGAGCTGTCTGCTGGTATTATTATAATTTGTGCGCGGGAACAATGGTAGTTACCTTTCAGTTCTCTTTCACGACCATTTCTCGATCGTTTTACGGAAATTCAGTATAGATTTGCTAGAAGCATTTGTCCGTGGTGCAGTAAAGTGCAGCGAGACGCGGAAAAGGAACGTCTTTCCCAGTGAATCAAAGTCGTCCTCCGGCCGTACCACGTATTTTCGCCTTCGGTACGTACATATCATCGAGAAACAATACAAAAAAATAAAAAGAAAGAGGAAAAGAATCGTCGAACTCTCTCGAGAAACCGTCAAACCGAAAGATTTGATTTGTCTACCGCGCTATAGACTCGTCGTCGTCGCCTCGAGAAAGATTGCTTTCGATTCCTGGGGGCAGGGGGGGGGGAGAGAATCTTGAGGGACTTCTTTCAGCCCGTCAGAAGTAAACTCGATCCGGCTGTTATCCGTTTAAAGAAAATAGAGGAAAGTCGAAATTCTGATTCGAACAAGTTCCCGGCACTCGCGGGGAAAATCGATGGCGCGGATTGAAAGAATCGAGAAGGGACCTTGAATCCTCGATGGAAAGCTTACGAGCTAAACGGACGTTAAACTTCTCGAACAAGTACCATAAAACGTTCCCCCGAAAAATATAAATCGCACAACAGGGCGGGCAACGAGCCCCACGGTGCACGATCCGCCCTCGAGTGGGAAAAATAGAAGGAGGAAGGGCTCTCGACGAAGTCCGCGACAAACTGCACCACTTTAAGCTCTCGGAGTTCCGCGAGTCGATTGGCAATTTCGTGGAACTCGAGCTCCGCCCGCGCCGTAGGGGACCGGAAGTTCCACGGCGCTCCTCGTCGGAACCCTCGCGTGGGTATTGGCGGCACGAAGTTGCCGTCGGGTGTTTGTAATTGCCGGGGCTGCGAGGGAGCAACAATCTCGAGTACACGCGCAATGCTGTTTACCAACACCGGCCGCGACGATAACATCAACCGCGAGACGATCCACCGTTTGTCCAAGGCAACGGGACAAGAGACCACACGAGGTCGAGAAACTAGGGAAACCGTTCGAAGGGTGCGTTAAACCACCACGAACAAGGAACCCACACGCCTGGCCACGTGTTTGCTTTACGTTAGGGCTTGTCGGGATAAAGAATAGCTATACCATAAGTTATTCTCGAAGCGAAGACACCGTAAGTCCGCTGGGTGAAGCGAATCAGATTCCTCCGCCCTTAATTGCCTGCTCCCTTTTCAAACAGAGGCTTCAAACGAGCCACGAGACGTTAACATCGGTGGCAAGTTTGAGTAAATTCGCTCATGCATGCCCGCAGAGAACGGACGCGAGTCACAGAGGTCGAAAGACAAGAGATATGGCAGCGGAGGAAGACGTTAAGGGGCTGTTGAGAGAGCAGGTTTGGACAAGGGCGTAACAAAGAGCCAGAAGGGTCCACCGGCGATGATTAATACGTTATTCGCGAGAGGAAATTCAGTTAGAAAGTGTCGTTTGCACGGAGGTTCGTATATAAACCATCCCCCAGGACGCTGTTCATCTTCCTCGAGGAGACAATCCGAGAATCCGGGGGGCTGTTATTATTCCAGTGAAAACATCATCCCGATTTATTCCCATTCTGTTCGACGGCGCCATTTTTTCCTACTTTGGCCCGTATAAATAGGAAAGTTGCGGATGGGGATCGTCGAATCAGGAATATTCGAATACGTGAACTAGGGTCGATCGTAAAGTTTATTCGTCCGATCGGAGGTTTACGAGCGATCCCACGATTCACCGCAAAACATTTTCATGATCTAAACACTCCCTGCTGGTAATTCCGCGACACGATCGATCTCGATTTCCTTCTGGTCGTTCACCCTATCGGGTTGCATTTATCGAAATCGAAATCGAAAGCGAAGCGATCCGACGATCGATTATCATTTTCCGAGTATCGGGGCAAAAAGACATCGCGCAAAGACCGATCGAGTATCCGGTCGGGGGTGGTTCGGGCAGATAAAATGACGTTGGGAACTAATTCCAACGCAAATTGGAGAATGTCCGGGGTAGCCATTCGTTACCCAGAACAAATGGCCGTATTAGACACTTCGCTCCTCGCCCTCCTCGGGATTGCAGTTTCGCTCACGAGAGAAAAACCCACCTCGCTTCATAAATTGAACGTCCCCTCCGCCTTCGCGTGCTATGTGTACTCACGGCAGCCCCGGCAAATGGCGTACGGCTTAAAGTTCGAAAGGGCTGAAGTTTCGTTCCCGCGCGATGTAAAACGCCGCGGGAACTTTCGCGTTCCGATTTGCGTGCTGCAGGCCGGAAACTGTTCTAATTCCAACTTTCTAATTCCGCGGCTATACCGAGGTAATGACCCTGTGTACACGCTGCCAGGAATACTGCTCCCGTTATGGGTTCACGTTCGCGCTTCCACGGCCCTTCGATAACCCCTCGCGGATCTGTTTTCTCCGAATCCCTTTTCATCAACGAGTGCACGTATCGGGTCATTCTGTATCGGGGCGCAGTACTTTAAACGTAGCTTTGAATCCCGTGAAAAACTGTGATCCCTTTGTCGATCGATAACCCCCTGACATTTTTCGATAAAGTCATTATACCGTTACTGCAAACCTTGTATGGATTTTCCATTAAAATGTCATTCGGCGGTGTTTTTGGAACGTTGATATTTTCAATTTCGTTACCCGTGCAATTTTTTCCTTCAAAGGGACAAAGCCGACTGTCTCTGCATCCCCTAAACGAACATCGTCGATCTCGAAACACGGAAAACATACCGACGACGGGGGGGATTCGACTGGTTCGTCGAAAACTGAAACCGCGCCGAGCATCCTCTGTTTCGCAGTTGCAACAAAAGTTTTCCAATCGGCCGATTGATTTTCAGTGTTCGACTCGATCAACGTGCACAGTGTCGAGTAGTTGCCACGGTCGAAGGCACTTCGACGGCAATACCGTCTAAGTGCATCCGGATCGCGATAAATCTGATGCGCCCGGGCCGCGCTATCACGCAAATTGACCTTAATAGCGCTCGATATCGGGACGCGTTAACGAAGTGACGCGTATTAAAATTTCAAATGACCCGACGGGACTTTTATTCGGCCACGGCCGCCTACGGACACCCCGATCAAACACCGCCGTTTCGAAATTACGGGTCGTTCACCCCCCGCGTGATCATTAATTCGGTTCGTCTTGAGCACCGGGGCTTCGTTAAGCCCACGCTCGCGATTACGCTTTGTTGATCGAGCAACCGACGAACCGAGCTCCGTCAACTTTAAGCCCCTCTTCCGCGACCCAGACGCCTGGGAAGCACAACAATGTTACAGCTACGATATATAAAAGCTTGAGAAACAACGGGGAAAAGTAACAGATAATTAAATAAATAGGGTAGAATTTATTTCGAATAAAATCGCAGGAATTTTGCGTCGAACCCTGTGAAAAGAGAACAGAGAATCGCGTTTCAAACGAATGAAAAAATGCTTTTGACGGCCAGGTTGGACCGGTGTGTCGTTTCGAGCGATTTTATCGATTTGAAAGAAAATGGTCGCGAGCGTGAAAAGGCGAAAGAAACAAAAAGTATAAAGGCAAGGTTTTACCCATACTGATTCCAGAGCTGGATTGATCCTCGTTTTTGGCACCCCAGCAGCCGGCCAGGTTCAGCGCCAACAGCGGCCTCTCCTTGAGCAGCTCCGCGACCGAGGCCAGGCCCTCGCATCCGCACCCCAAATGGGGCAAGTGCAGCGCTTGCACTTGAACGCAGCCACGAAGTGCATCGCAGACCTGGGACACTTGTTTACCGGACAGATTCATGTCGAGTACCAGCCGCGCCAAGCTGCTCGACGCGTGGCTCAGTCCACGGCAAAGGGCGTTCACCACGCACTCCAGCCTGAAACAGCGGATCGATGCACTCTTGTGCGTTACAAACGCTTAACATTCCCGCGCCCGGATTCCCCGTCGTTTCACGCCCGGCCGAATCGAATTCCGCGCGATCGGTTCGCAAATTCGGGAGATCTCGCGGACGGAACACGGTCGACGTAGCCAAAGTTAAGGAAGCGTTGCAGTTTTCCTGCCAACGTATCGCAAGCATAGCAGTTTCCTTCATCAGTGGCTGCTTGACATACTGCTACCGATACGCGGAACTGCAGCGGTTGCGAAACGCCGACGAAGAAGCTCAAAATGTGGCCGGCATTCGCGGATCAATAGGAACAAGTTTGACAGGAACGACCTACATACCCGGGTCACCGGGTCGTGGACTCTTGAAAAGACCTTTGGAAGTTCCCGTCCGTTCGCGTGGACGCGAATCTGACTCGAAAAGAAGCGTGTCTCGATCGTTCCGGGATGGAAATTTGCTCGTGGGCGCGAGACCCGCGAGTCTCCCGGTGGATTTATGCATGTATAATGTTCACTTGGCTGTCTATTCGCTATTATTTCGAGAGGCAACCGTGCGTACGCGCGCAACGGTTGTTATGCAAAAATCGAGTGCAGTCGGTTCTCCTCGGGGAATCGCAAACGAGTGTCTAGATTTTCTCCGACGTTACACGCTCGCCGGAATGTCGGCGCATGATTTTTATAGCCAGCGATAAGCAACATGGCGGCGGGGTTCGGGATCAAAAAGAAATTTTCTACCCCCTCCCGATACGCTAACCAAAAAATCGTTATCGCCACTCGCAGCGTAAACGCAAAACGAGCTCCGCCTCTTTCGCAAACAACGCGCGCGTACGTTCGGAAAAGCGCTTTTGCTCCACATCGATGCAAATAAAAGCCACCGAATATTTCTATTTGTTATAATTTTCAAAAATATCGAGGACATCTCTGGCCAAAATGCTACCCTTGGTTCTTGATCCCCGTTTTTCACATCGACGAGGAGTTTAGGTTTGAATATCGCGAAACCGTCTGACCAAGCACGACCGCTATCACTTCCACGTGTACCGGACAGTGGAAATATTCCGTCACGCGTCAGTCACTGTTCCCGCGTTTGACGCGTTCAATCCCGGCCAGGATTTTACGAAACGTGGATCTTCGTCAACGTCACCGATCCAGGTCGACCGGGTCCAAGTTCCGCGGAACTTGTCGACGACCACTGTAGACGGTATTTTAATAAACCCTGCGGTAGGCGACCATGCATCCGGGGGTAGTTAAAAAGCTTGTTTCAAAGCACCGCGAAGTTGCCTCGCGGTGGAGAACCTTTCCCGTCCGTGCATTCGTAAGTTTGTTATAAAACTTTTCCTATCCCTCGAGAGATATCCCTTTCTTGCAGGGCGCGGAGCACCGAGGATTCTTATTATTTAAACGCTGCATTAGCGTGGCTCGCAACGCGGCGTTTGCCAAGAAGGGGAATCATGTCTTGCTACGAGCAACAAATTTATCTGTTCCGAAGGGATCGCGGAATCGCTGTTACGCGGGTGTCTTGAAAATAATTTGCGAGCCTCGGATCCGGTGTTTTCGAACGGTCCCAACGGAGAAGAAGCGAGAAAAATTATGAAACCCCCAAGTTCACGAAAAGTTTCGAAGCGAGTATTAAAGCGAAAGAAACAAGACGCGAACCACGAGCGAAGGACGGAAGGAAGGAAGTCGAAAGAAGGTCCGAGGGGTAAAAGTGGATGGAGCCGCGAGAGCAAGTCTTCTTATCTGGTCTAGCGTTCGACTATGAAAACCACCCCCCCTACCGCGCGTCCTCCTTAATTTTTCGCCACGGGCCACGACACTGGCCCTTCACGACCCTCGAATGCTCTCCGCGCAAAAAAGCCAAGCTGCCCTTCCATTCTTCCGCGGCATATTGTTCCACCACTTTCTCCGCTCTTTCTCCGCCACGAGACTCTATGCAGCCGCGATCCAACCCCTCTTGGCGGCCGCTCATTGTTAAACTGCTCTCGGTGGCGCGTTCGCGGGGGTGGCGTGCGGTTCGCTGGCGCGGGCCGGCTCGTGCTCTGAATATCGAATTCCGGCCTTTTCGCCACGGGGTCGCGTGTGAAAAACCTCTCCAAGATATATACTTTTTGGCCCCTACCCCCGCCCCAGCAGGAACTTTCCCGGCTGCGAATTTTCACCAGGAAACTTCTCGGGAACCGTCTCTTAGACTCATCGACTTTAACCCTCGTCCAAAGGACTCCGGGTCCACTCTGGCCCGGGGAAACAGTTTAGAAAGTCAATGAGAAATCTAGTAGAGCAATATGAAATTTGATTGTCGAGAATCGTATATGCAAGTGCACAAGTTGTTTGTTAACGTTACGGTACTACTTGCGAACTCTAGTACCGTTAAGAGCAGTCCGTTGTTTCACGGTTCCTTCGATTTTCCTCGCGAGAAACGTATCAAACCCCGGGCAAGTCAACAAGGTTGTTTCCTTCAACATCATTTGCAATTTGAACGTTGGTTTTCGCTTCGATGGATAAACAACGCCCCCACCGACGCCCAGTGTCTTTTTGCGCTGGGTAAACGCCGCCTCCGGAGTATATAAACAAACTTTCCTGGGTCTGGGGGATCGGGAGAGGGGCGCGTATTCTTCGTTTTGGTTTCATCGCGGCGGTGCACTTTAAAACTTAGTCCCCCGTTAATATTCAAACCCTCGAAAATCTGTTTACGTCTCCTTTGGCTCGAGGAATACAACGATCGACGATCGATGAACATTTTAGCCGAGTTTTTAAGGGAGAACCATAGTTGAACCAATTTTTCATTTTTCCTCCTTACGTGGGTTCTACCCGCGGGGCATCGATTCGCACTAATGGTAGGTTATTCAGAAATTATCGTTGTGGTTCCACGCAATTGGCTCCGGAGTTTCGATTTCCCGCAGCCGAGCCTGTGCTCTCGTTCCGGTAAAAAAAAAGAAGGAAATACTGGAAACCAGGGCTCCTGACACAGCCAATATAAGCGCGCACACAAGAAACCAGGGCAGTTATGCAAATGGGGGCTAGAACCGCCGCCACCACCTTTGCCTGTGCTTCTGCTCCCCTCGCAGCGTAAACACGCTCTTTTTTTCATTTTCCCCGTTCTGCACCCGAGCGACGGTAAATGTCTTCTTCGCTGTCGCGCGAGAATCAAACCAAACGATATCAATTTGCCTTTACAATGCCCAAAAACACGGGCCAAATCGATGAGACCGATCAGCCAAGCTCGAAATATCGAACAACTTGTATCGTTCTTGGTAACGAGTCTTCGAAAGTTTTAACGATCGTAATTAATAAGCTGTAAAATTTATTCCTTTACTTTGGAAACATTGTACCTTTATCGCGCGCAGCGAGCCAGCTTCTCGGGCCAAGTTAAAAAATTGATCTATTTGCGTGTACCTCTTTCCAGGGGCAAACTTTTTTAATCCACTTTCCGATATTGGCCGTGGTCCGCGCAGACGGTCCAAGGGATTTTACCCCGTCAGCGTAACGAGCGTTCCGCTTTAGCCGGCCCTCGAAAAGTTCCCGGCGACGTAATGTTATTGCGTCGGCCGTTGGTTCGCCGAGGGTCGCGTTATTTTAAGGCCGCACAATGGAAGGTTCGTCTTCGAGCCGTGCCCGTCCGGCAATTTCACCGGCTCTCTAACCGTGAACCAAACGTGTCAAGGGCACTCCCGAGATTTTCGCGTGTTTTCCCAGGGATTCGCGCGCGCCCGCCAGCCGGAGGAAAAGCAATAACGACGAGTATCGAGGAAAGTTTTCGGTCCCGCGTCTGTCGTCCCCGGTTGTCCGCGCAAACACAGGGGAATCCGGAGGCGCGCGAAATGAGTTTCTCGTCGCAGGGTGTGCAAAAGTAACGTGAGCACGGTACAAAGTCGCCATCCCCGAACAGGAGAACCGAGGAAGCGATAAATCTTCGTCGAATAACAAATTCTATTTCTGCTCACCTGTCGTGGGCCTTCTCCTCCAGGCACGTGATGACCAGCTCAAAGTCGTTGAGCTTCTTCTTCCCCAGGACGCTCTTCAGATGCCCGGCCATCATCTGCGCCTCGTCGGCGGGGAACTCCTGCCCGAGAAGGGAGGTGATCCTGACGAGCTTGACGCTCTCGTTCCCAGCGAGAGCCTCGAAGAAGTCGTCCAGGTACCTCGGATCGGAGGCCCTCTCGACCTGGAAGACCACCTCGAGAGCCTCGAGGGTGCAGGCTGGGCTCTCGAGGATCCTCGCCCAGCCCTCGAGCTCCAAAGGCGAGGTGTGAACCAGAGGCGAGGGTGGCCTCTCGTTAGGGGCTGGCCCGAATCCAGGCCCGGCGCCCACCAGCCTGCAAACTGCGGATATGTTCCCGTCGGAGGCACCGGCTGCCTTCAGCAACGAGAACACGGCTCTCGGTGGCACCTCCAGCGGGCAAAGCTGATTCAGAATCAGATGCGTTTTCGGCCCCAGTAGTCCGGCCAGGTGGCTGATAATGCCCGACGGCAGGCCCTCCAGCTCTCTGCGAAGGATGTTCGCGTACTGGGCGACCGAGGTCAGATAGTAGGCGGCTAGAAACTCGGCCACCGCGGTGTGGATCGGCGTGTAGAGATCCGGTTTCCGTCTCTGCCCGAAGGTCAGCCCCTTGGTCAGGAAGCCTAACCTGGTGACCTCGATACCGCCGCCGCGAGCCCTTAATTCCGCCTCCGTGTAGCAACATCTGCCTTCCCTGAGCGCGGCCAGGGACAGCTTCCCAAAGTCCTCGAGACGCTTTCTACAATGGCCCGGGATCTCCTCGTTATAGGGGACCGGTGGGTCCAAGCTCCTTTTTACGACGCACTTCACCGCAGCTTGAACCAACGCGCTGGTCTCTGTCGGCAAACTGCCCGAGTCCTGGGGAAACAGCACGCCATAGTTTCAACTAACAAGTCCGTTTTACGACCTCTGACATTTTTACGTTGCCCTCCGGGCGTACAAAGACTGTTTTTAATATTATCTCTTAACAAATCGTACTCGAAATAAACAATGGGGTGGGGGGTTAATTCTACGTGCAAAAATAAGTAGAAACGATAGAGTAACATTTTTTTGTCCGGGGCCTCGTTTTCGAGAAATCGACGTCGACGAAATCAAGTGGAACAAACACGATATTGGTCGGACGCGTCGGACTAATCTCAGACATTACTACTTGAATTCGATAAATTCTTTAAATTCGTGTATCTTGGAAACGGGGGCTCGTACGGAAAATTGTTATTCGTTCTTTTCGGCGTATTATTCGTGGGAAAACCCTTTTAGTAAGGAATGCATACCTGGTATAGACAACAGAGCATGATCCAGCCGAGCGGATGCTGGCCAAGCTGCTTGACGGTTTGCGGCTGAATGTTCAGAGCCTCGAGGAACTCGCAGGCCTTCTCGGCGATGTCGTTGTGAATGAAATACGCGACGCAGAGCCTCTCGACGTGCGGCCATTCGAGGCCGGCAAGATGAATCCTCCTCTGGACGAGCGGCGACAGGGCGGCCGAGTTGCTGGGCGAACAAGTCACCAGGATCCTCGCGTCCGGGAACAGGCGTCCTTCCAGGAGGTCCAACGCGTCGCCCAGGGACGCTCTGCCGCCCACGCACTCGTCGTAGCCGTCCAGGACGAAGAGAACGCGATCCTCCATGAGGTGCAACGTGCGCCAGACTTGGGCAACGGCGTCGCCGATCGCGGCCGTCCTGGGGAACAGCTCGCGAGCCAAATAACTCAACACCGGACTGCCTCGAAGCTCACGAAGGGGCACAATGAGGGCCAGGACAGGACCATCCCCTTGGATCGCCCACTGGTGGAGCAGTCGAAGACACAGAGTCGTCCTTCCGCTTCCTGGACCACCCTCGATCGCCACGCGCCGCGGAGCTTCAGATATCGTCCCATCGCTCAACTGAAATCCAAAATCAATGACAATAGTCCCTTTATTTAACCCTTCTCCTTATTATCGAATAATGCAATGCCCTTATACAGCCAGAATAGACACGTCAATCGACACAGACTTGTTGCAGATTCCTTTTGAGGTAACGCCCAACTATTTTCAGGAACGAGTTTAAATATACGTTTCCCCGGTAAGAGTACGTTGGAGAAATCGATACGTTGCGTGACAGTGAGTAAGATCTCCGGAGTGGTTAGGTCGGAGAAACGGCCGTTCCGTCGAACGGGGATTAGTGGTTCACGCGGGAGGAACGAAGTTCTAATTGGTAGCCGGCCAGGAATCAGGAAACCGAGAAGTATCCGAGAAGCTGGTCACGAAGCCGCTAACTCTTCTTCTTATTGCTGGTCTAGTTGTCTATCCGCGACGAACGAGCTTCCGGTACACGGAGAAACCGCTCGTAATTCATCGTACGGACGCCGGTCCTCTTGTTTCCCCGGGAATTCAATGGGCATCGCGTGCGAGATTCGTTAAGAAACAATAAAAACGACCAACGTATAAAAACGCGTCGCCCCGGCGAACGAACGCGTAGCAATTAACGGTAAAACAATGCCGGGTATCTCCGCGCCTCCGTTTATCCGGGAATCCTACGACGCGTGCACCCGAGCGCCGTTTCGGAACTCCGCTAACGAGACTTTTCGCGACTTTTAATTGCCCCGCCGGGCACGATTTTTGGGTTCGTCGGGTCCCGTAACGAATAAAGAACTTTGCCAGAAAATATTCGAACCCCCCGTCGAACGTCGCCGCTCGGTTCGGCGGCGGCGATTTAATCAGCGAAATTGTTTTGTTTTATTATACGAATAACGCTTTGTGCGCCGACACGCGTCCGTCCATTGTTCTCCTCGAAATTTACTGCTCGTTGCCTTTGAGGCACGAACAATATACGCGCTAGAAAATCGTTGAGTTCGGCGAGATACAACTGGTTCCGGGCGTCACCGATCGATTCGACGCCGGGCGTCGCGTCGCGGCGATGCGTCTTGCTTACGGAACAGATTACCGCGAACAGAGTCGCGTGCCTCGGCTTCTACTCGGCTCGCGTAGATTACGATTATCGACCGTGACGTCCCGATTGTTTGCCGGGCGTCGTGCCGATCATCCGTCACGGCGTACGACCTCGTTAACGATGTTGGGCGTACGTGATCTGCTACTCCAAGACGCCCGGAAGCGGACGCCCGATCGGCTCAACGTCGGCTCTCCTCGAAGACGAGTCGATAAGTTTGAAAGGTGGACGGCGAATCGATTATACAACCAGGGATCTAATATTATCGTAGACGTTATCTCGAAAAGCCTATTATAAAGGGATCCATGCAGGCCTCTGATGGTTCGATAGGTAGTTGTTTCGTCTCAGGAGACTCTGCAGCTGTGATTCTGGACCCTTTACGGTCTATTACTTGGTCCCTTCGGAGATCACGATACGATTCCCCCGGTATACTATTACTCCTGCTCTCTTCTTGTCCCGGCTAACCCCATAAACTAAGACCTCCTAAGTTATCCAGGCTTAACCTATGATTTCGAACATTCTAGATTCCACTATTTGTGTTCTATCAGCGATTCTAAGATTTTAAGCCATGGTCTGTCATTCGAGCTCCTCCCTGATCATAGATCTCGGCTTCTCGACTCGTCGATAGCTTCCCCTAATAACAGACTGATTCTAGGCCTCGGAGTACTTACCATGCTCCGATTCGGCTCTTCCTAATCACGGTACACGATACAATAGCTTCAGGTTTGAATGCGAAACGTATCAGTTTCTGCTTCGACGGATCACAGGCTTCACCTTGTTAACATGCTACTGATTGATTGCGTCGAAATACGCATTACGGAAACACCGTGTTGCCAACAACGCGCGTACTCTGCCTTCCATTACATTGTTTGCGCGGGCTTGTCAACGGAGCCTACGTCAAAGCGTATGCAGCGTACCTTTTCGACGAGCAAAACAATGGAATTAAATTTTTATTAAACGAGAAAGAGCGGCGGAAAGCCCGGTGGCCGCAATCCGAGGGAAGGCGAGCGACATGCAACTACAGACCGTGGGGTAGCAAAAGGAAAAAGAGTTCGTACTCGAGCGAATTAGTTGCCTCGCGTTGTATCCCTCGCGGACAATCAGAGTTGAAAGAAGACGAGAGTGAAAGAATTACGAACGGCCGGGGGGCAAGAAGCGGTCAAAGCGGTAGAAAAAGCGCGGAAGATGAAAAGGGGGGGGGGGGCGACGACAGACGCTGGAACCGAGCCATAAACGAAACGCATTACCTTAATGGCGGAGCTTTGCGAACGAGACGAGAGGACGAGCCGAAAGTTGGCCGCAGGAGGCAACGGTTTTCCCGCGTTTCGACGGCCAAAAGCAGACGAAACGAAATTGGCATGCGTCGCGCGCGATATCTCCTCGTCTTTCTCGATCGCGATAAATTCGCTCGGAGCCTTTGTTTCGGGTCCAGCGGGTCTAGGATCGCGTCGGTGCAAGAAAAGCAGCGCGCGAAGGAGGAAAGAGAAGATGAAATAGAACTCGACGAGCCGGTACGAATTCACTCGGAAACCGCTGTTTCGCCCGTCGATGCTCGTTCCCATGAAAGATGAATTCTCCTCGAGCAAAGCCGGCAAATCACGTAGGAACCGTTCGATGCGCTTCGTTTCCCGATCACGAGAATTCTTTAGCGATCGAACGGGGAGGTTTTCGCCCGATCGCTTCTCAGCTAAACGGAATTTGGAAGTCGAATATCGGTGATGCTGCTTAAAACACACCGCCGCTCGCGAGATACGTTCCAAGTTTAATGGGGGTATCCTAGTCTGGAGGGTTGATTTTTTAAACTGACAGTGTAAAACCAATCGTCTTGGAGCGTCTCTGACCCTTGCTACGATCAAGGAGGCCGGGGAAAGAGATTTAAAAAGATTTGTAGCCGCGTTGCAAAGGACGGAGAAGGTTGGTCAAGAGTTCTCGAGTAACGAATAAAGCATTTCGCAGGGAGCGCCAAGGAGCAAAGATGACGGTCCTCGACCCTTTTCGACGTCGGTCCCCGATAATATCTTCGATCGGAGTATCGCCGCAGGAGCATAACTCTTTTGGTCCTCGAATAAAGAAGGTTTTAATCGCGGAGACGCGGTCGAGGATCGAGGACGGAACGCGAACCGCTCCTCTGGCACCGCGTAACGAGGCATTGTTCTGTCGCGGCACGATAAGATGGCCGACTTCGCTTCGTTAACGTTTCTCGAAAGGCTTTTTAACCGTGCCAGCCGATGGAAAATCCGGCAACGCTGATAACTTCTGGAGGAACGCGCGACGAGCGTCCAACTACCGAGGCCTTTGTGTACCCGGAGAACACTCAGAAATCGGGCTCGTTTAATTGCTTCGGCACGTCGATCTCTGTTCTTGCGCCACCCTCGATCCACGCGATCGTGCATTTTAATGTCTCGTTCGCCGGGAACACGGAATTTATTACAGTTACAGGAACCCTACGAACTCCTCGATCGTTTATCGTCGACGTAAATAGTTCGTCCGCTCTTCGAGCGAATCTCGAAAGGAACGCGCGAACTATCGAGGATGAACCGATACTTTGTACCTTTGGTATCTCGGGAACTTTCAGAATAGGAGTTTATCGACGAACAATCTGAGAATTTTCATTTTTTTTTGCAGACGTAAAAAGTATAATAAAATTCACCGACTGTTATTGGCTCGGGTTGTATAATAAACGAGAGCCGGGTCGTCGATCACCGACGAAGGCAGAACCAATATCGCTCGTCGCAATAGTCGACGCCCGTTTCGTTTTCCCTGGATTCGCCCAATCGCTAAACATCTCAATCTTCCTCCCTTAACGCTGCCAGTATCTACTGCCAGCCGTGCAAACCAAAGATTTATCGAAGCCACGATAAATCCGTTCCCCGCGAAATCTCCTTATCTTCCAGCTACACGTACTCTGCTAGAACCGAAAGATCCCTCGCGTCATCCGCTTCGATTTCTCTCTACCCGCGTCCTCTACAAAATACAGAGGCTGTCCCCTTTTGGAATCGGGCCACTTTAAAACTCTCCCCCGTATCAAATAATAGGGAATTGCCACTGGATTAATTTCGTAGCACGCAAGAGAACGTGTGTGCTCGCCTCACATCGCGTCTAAGGAATTCGGTCGATCGGTTTCTTGTACGAGTCCCCTTTGGCGTCGAGCGACAAGGGTGTCTGGCAGCGATTCATCGTTTCGCGCGAAAATGACTTCTCCCTTTAGCTCTGTTATTTCGCTTCATCCGGCGTGGAGCAGGTCGATAACACGGCCACGTAATGGAGCCACGAAACGCAGACAATGCGCCACGTCGCCCGGAAACGCGCGCGTCGAAAAATGAGCTTCGTAACCGTGCCATCCGGAGACCGGGACCCGCGGAAGAGGGTGAGACGCGGATCGCCTACGTACGTCAGGATCGCGAGGGACAGACCGAATGAATTCGCGTCACAGAGCCGACGGACGTGTCGGGGAAAATAAATGGGTCGAAACTACGAGCTTTTAAGAGCCTTCGACGCGTTTCGTAAGCCTCCGCGAAATGGGAAACATGTACCTTCGAACAGTTACATTTGCAACCTCCCTCTGTCCCGTTATATAAAGTTGTATAAGACCAGAGGGGCGGAATTCGTGTAATTGTCGTAATGAACCCAGCTATGCGGAAAGTTGGATGATCGAGTCCCTCGAGAATTCGACTTTCGCGTTTAAAGGGATTTGACAAAAGGAAGGCAGAGGCAAAGGCGAGCCAGAAGAAGGCTGTTTACGGGTCACCGGTTCACCGAGCAAGCGACGAGGGTGGAATTATCGAGAAACTCGAGGCGGTCCGCGAAAAGCGCAGAGTTCGCCGACTGTGTGCGCGTAACGAGGACCGGAGAAAGAAACGCTTGTCGCGATAATGAATATTCCAAGTCTCTGTATCGAGGGAGACGGGGGGTTTGGGGTTGGGGTGGGTATCTCCCGTTTTCGAGGAGCAACCGAGGCGAACCGTTTTTCCGGATCACCGATGGCCCCCGGTGTCGACGTTCTCTCGCCTCGCGTATTATTTTCCATTTTCCCAGCGGCCGGGACGAATGCACCGACGAGTGCTCTCCGATCTGGCCAACTGGAAGCGATTTCTTTGTCTTCGGGCTCTCGTCGGGAGCGCAGACACTTCCGAGAGCGCGGTGCACACGAACGACAACGACGCTGAACGTCGTCCCGCAAACACACGGCTCCTTGGACGAGCTCGTCGACCGAAACGCGGACATTGTTCCCTCAGTCTTTCACCTGTTGTCTCGCCGCTCGCGGAAGAAAGGCCCATTACGGCGGAGCTATTTCGAGTCATATTTACCGACACGTAGACGGAGACGCCGCGGCGGGTAAATATGATGCGCCGATACGAGTGCTTTCGAGCCGCGAGCTGATTTAATGGGCCCGCTGATGAGATTTCGTCATTGTTTGCGCGTTCGATGCATCCGTTGTGTCCCGGTGAATGGCGACAGAATCGAGCGACAACTTCGCCCCCGATGAAACCTATGCACCCCGTCTCGAAGCTATTGTCTGCGCTCCAAACTTTCCAAGATCCTTCCGATCCCCCGCCTAATTTATTTCACCCCAACCATCGCGTTATTAAAACAATAAACGTACACGTGTACACGTAGCCAGAACCGATAGAATCCAACGATGCGTTTAGCTTTCAAGAAATATGCTTTCTTCCCCCGAAGAAGATATCATCCTGTATTTGCTTGTTAAACAGGCTGTTCTTGGATTAGACGAACAATTCGATGAAAGGATGTTTCCATCCCACCCGCGCGATTCCCGCGTAAGCGAACTGCTCGAGAAAATAGACTTTTCTTGAATCGACGACCATCTTTTCATTGTGCCTCGCAGTTCCAAGAATATTTGAAAGGAAACGGGCGAGCATCTCCCAAGGTTTCTCATCGGGGAACGCCTTTTATACCCGGCTTCTTTTACGGCGTATTTAGTCGCAAAAAACGGTGCCATTTTCGCGAAATATTTTCCGACCACATTCACCCCTCGAATAGGGGTTGAACGCGACCATGGTAGAGTGGAACAAACGTGGTCGACGAACAATGAAAAGGGTCGATGGATGGATCCGTGTGTGCGATGCGTGCGTGGATGGAGCTTATCCTGTAACGAGCTTACGATCCTTCCTACGGATCGTCGCCGATATTGCTCGCCTCTGCGGATTTATCGTCGGCCCGCGAAAAAAGAAAACGCCCTTTTAATAATTCACGCGTTCGCTCGCACGAAGGCTCGGAAGCTAATATATCAAAGCTCGTTGTTCCCTTCCACGGCTGTCGCGGAATCGAAGCACACCGTGATTGTTGCTGGAAACGAATTGCCCAAGAAACTCCGAAGCATCGAACTTTTACGAGGAGACGAGACCGTAACTTGGCTTTCACGCGACGTACCGAAGTTTCTGCGCGAAGGCAAGTTTTGGCATTCGAGGGGGGAAATTCGTCCTCGGAGTGTCTACTGTCCCCAGGAACTCGACTCGCCCAATTACGTAGTCGATATCATGTAAATTCACAGCCGGCGAACGATCTTCCCTGCTGGTTTAATTCATAAAGGACGCGTCGAGCCCCGAAAAATTCTCAACCCTCGAATATCATTCCCGTTTCTATCGATTGCTGTTGTTTCACGCGTGCAGGGAATTCCACTTTCGCGCGTTTAACACGTAATCGGTATGCAGAAAGTAACAGAAAGTTACAACGAAGAGAAAAGGACGAGTTGCCGAGAACTCGAGTCCCCCGCGTTACGGCGACGAATTCCGACGTCGAGATCGTCTAAGCTGGATTCACATCAGAAATTTCCTCCCGGTGGATGGTTCCCGCGGTTCGTTCCTCCCCCCCGGAATGTCCATTACAGCGACAGCCGCGCAAACTAGTCGTCGCGTAAGTTTTACGAGCGAACGTCAAAGGTCGGTACGGCCGCGAGAGACTCCGCAGTTTCCCGCGGGATGATTTATGACACTCACCCTGACGGGGGCGAAGATCTGGTCGGGCTTGATGTTCTCGAGCCTGTGTTCCTGCTCGCCTTTGTGGAACAGCTGCAGGTGCGGCTGAAAGTGCGCCGGACAAAGGGTGCCGAGTGGAAGAGGCGACGCCCACGCCGGCAAATGGGGTGGATCACGAGTGCCGAGCTCCCTGTAGAAGGTCTTCAGGAATCTGAAAGCAGCAAGTAGTTTCGAGTTTAACCACGGCGACGTCGCCCACACGGAATTCCTCTCCGCGAATTTACTTAATTATGTAAGCTTCGCGCTAATGGAATGCTCCTGCCAGCAGACAGGGGACGTCTCGACCGTTCGCGATCCGATAATCGACCCGATATCGCGTCCGCTCGAGGGGCTGAAAGAATGGACCGACGGAATCGAAGGAAAGGAGTCGAGAGACCCGCGAGCGGCAGAATCGACGGGAATATTTTCGTTGAAATTTTCGAATCGACGAGGTGTACCCGAAGCTGGAACTCGCGTCCGGGATCGAAGAGGCCATCAATTTTTCAGCGAATTACAAAATCGTACTTAATCGCTGCAACAACGACGCTCGACAGAGACTCGAAAGCACTCTGCGAACACTTTAAAAAACCCGTGTCGCGCTCGCTCCTCTCGGTGAATTTTTTACAACGCGCCGGTAAAATTCCAATTAATCCGAGTTACGGCGCGTCGTGTCGGATACGTCCCCCGAAGTGGCTCGCTTATCGAGTGACTGGTTAATTTCCCAAGCGACGAAACCGTAGTCAGGCTAAGTGGCAGTTTCACGGTGAATGATGCATTCGTTGTACACGCGGTGCCGCGGCAAGATTGATGATCTTAAGCGGGAGCCCGTAGGAAGGTGATCAAGCGTGGAAAGGATCGGACGTGGATAGGTAGAGCCGAGGAGCTTTACGGCTTCCGGACGATTGCCTCGGAAGGACCAAGCGTACTGGTTTTATGGCTTTGCCCTGCGCCACCCGCGGACGCGGATACTTCCTTTTGATGACGATTATAACGCTTTATTTATGTTTAGCGTGGCCGATTGATCGAAACAGGTGCTCGAGCAACTGCTCGCTGACAGCCGCTATCTTTGGCGAACGTGGCTCTCGGCGATCCATCGAACGCGTACGGTGGATTCATAAAATATTATGGAACACGGTGCAGTTTTTACGAACTCGAGCGGGGAACTCCTCGGGGACATTCTGGTCCGGAAGTTTGACAAAATTTATCGCTACTTTAGCTTTATTCCCGAGAAGAAAAGCTCCTCGGTATTCTTTTAGAGACTGCGCGAGTAAATCGTCCTCGAACCGGCATGTTTCACGGTTTGTTAAGTAGGAGGAGGATAGCGTACCCGAATAAGCACGATCGAACTGACCTTAACAGTCTTCCCAGGGGATCCCTTTCCGGAGACGGCGGTCCTCCGATGCTACTTCCGGCGCCGAGTCTCCGCGAGGACGCACGTGCGCTCGATATGTATGCGGCTGGTGCAGGGGGCGGGCTGCACGGCGGACAACAGACGGGGCTGCTACCCCCTGGGGTCGAGAGGGTATAACTCCTCTCCAATTCCTGAAACAAAAGAAGAGAAAAGCGGCTTTAGTGGGTCCCTCGAACTGCTCGGCTGGTTTTTACAGACCTGGCGTTGTCGTTTCAATACGCCGCCGATATATCATACTTTTTCCATTGTCTCGCACGCGCGACGGAAATACCGATCTCGCGGTATGCCCCGGAAAAATAAACGTCCGCGAACATTTATTTCCCCGCGGCTCGCTTTCTTCTCGAAACAGAGTATTCTCGGACCGGTTATCGGAGACGGTGGTCGCTGATAGCCGCTCGTTGTTTTTCACCCGAGACGATGCCTTCGTACGCTCGTTATTGGAAATATCGGAAACGCGGGACCCGCGGACCAATGAAATATCTCCCTTGAAAGCGGAAGACTAATGGTTGGCGCCATCGAGCCATCGACATCGACCGTAGATTGTCGTCGACCGGTTGCCCAGTCATTAACAGCAACGGTACTTTAATTAATAATCCTAGACGCTAGGCTATCATCGACGATCTTGCTAAGTGATTTCATTTATTATTCCTATTACGGCGATATCGATGGCGTGCGTAGTCCTGGTCTCGTTCTGTGCCATTACGTAAACTCGATAATACGGAAAGTACAATATCGAAGAAATATTTCATGCTCAAGGCGCTTTTTTCCGGCGAAGAAACACCCAAAGAATGGCCGCGCCAGACTCGATCGACTTATCGAAATTAGTCGCGGCGAGAGCAACGCTGCCTGGCTTCCGGAGGATTCGCCCTCTGGCGATGGGGCGGCGAATCGAATTTACAACTTCGAGGGGACGATCCACGAGGTCGTTCTGGGAAACGACTCCCGCGGATCTTTATTCCTTCGGTTTATTTGATACGATCAGCCGTGACGTTCGGAAGATTTACTTTTGTAAGCACTTCCCATTTGATAGATAGCAGGAGATTATAGACGATTTTCGGTGATTGCGAGGGAGTCGAAAGATCCGAACGCGACTGTAATGTCTGCAAAATAATTGATAAGTGTCCTTGTTCGAATATAGTCGAATATAGAGGAAGATGTTCCCGACGAGGGGAAAGATTCTCGGCAAGAAGCTGAGAGCCATCGTAGAGAAGGGAACGAAACGTACGAGGTTCGAATTGCGTTCGTATTGTCTTCTCAAGGTGCAATTCGCCGACGAAGGGGGGGCCGGAGAGGCGGCTCCGGCAATTCCTCCGCGGTGCTCCAGGCAAAAAGCCGCAGGACGGTTCGAGGGGGGGAAGCAAGAGGCAAATAATTAAACGGCGGGAAACGCGGCCCGAATGGAGGATAAGATGAAACCGGTCTGGAACAAAAACGGAGAGAAACAGGGTTGATTCGAGAAACGGCGAGCGTCGAGGATAACTGGACGAGCAAAAAGGAAAGAGTTATGTCGAATCAACGTGGAACGAGGGAACGTGTTCGCTCGTCTAACCGGAGCGATTCGACGGACGGGTATTAACTGTTTTGTGTCGACGGGGGGGTCTGGTTCGATCGTGGACTACTTTTCCGGCCGACCGGGACCAAGATACGGGCCACGCGACCATTGTGCACGCTCGAAAAAAGTAACGATTGTAGCGCGCGAACGCGAATGACCGTTCAAAGTTTTGGGTCAACGGCGACGCCGACGCTGGCGGACAATTACCGAGATAACGAACCGCATTCAGCCGGGCTTCTATTAAAACTATAAAGACTGTTTTCATGCGACTCGCGCCGAGCCCGGAAACCTTTACCCCCGTTGTCGTTCGCGCGTCCGCCCAACGACGGCCCCCGTAATGACAATTAAAGTTGAGATTTTCCCGGGGTCTAAGCGCGATCGATCATCCCCCCGGCCGCATAGATCGATGCGTTTCATTATATTTTCGAACAACGTTCGAAGGAATCACCGGCAGTCGAGGTAATTAAACCCGCTAATCGCATTACTCGCGGTTATTAATCCCGGCCGGCGCGGTGGCTTCCTGTAACGATTTCCATCGAGCCGCAAAATTAATCGATCAAATTAAATAACGAACCTGAGGGATCCTCTGTCCGTCTCGAGGGTTCTCCGCTAATAACGCCCGGGCTAAATTTAATCCGTACAAATCGTTCCGCAATTTTTCTACCCCTCCCGGCGAAATTGCTTTATTAATGTCGCGAGGGGAACGGGGCAGAGATTTCAGACATGCTGGACGTTAATCGTAATCGATAGTCGAGGCAAGACACGTAGAAAATTAATCCCTGAAACGATTAACGCGCAAGGGGGGCACGAGTGTCTCGTCGGAAAGATTTGGAACTTGCGATCCCGGGGGGTAGGTGGATTCCATTAGCCGATCGTTCGCGCGCGGAGACGCCTCGCGTACTTCAACGTCAAAAACATTCCTCCATATTTCGTTTGCGACGACCCACGCCGTACAGACCCTCGAACTCCGACCCCCTTCGCCCCCCTTTGGAAAATATTATAACGCGAGGACGGATGCCAGCGGCAGACAATGCTATCGTCCCGGCACAATGCCTCGAAAACTGCCGCGACTCGCGGAAGCTCGACGAGGCAGACAGACGGGGGGAGGAAAGCACCGGGAGGTTGTTCGGAAGAGCCAGCGGCATTAATTCGAGGTAATTTCTGCTGCAGACGACAAAGGGCTTCCTTCCGCGCGCTCGATAAAGTACACGCATCGTCTTAGCTTGCGCGGACAAAGAGGGTTTCACCCCCCCTTGGATTGCCGGGAATCGTGCGTCCTCGTGCTCCTCGACGTACTACTCGATACCAGCGTGATACGCCGGGGGTAAATGTAGGCCAAGTGCGTCGTTACGGGGTACCGAGTCTCGAAAGACCGCCATATTCGAAAGGCGAATTTGGCTCGGAATCGCTCGAAAAGTTGTTCGCAGCCTCCCAGGGCCAGTCCTCGTAAATAATAATCGTTTCGAGATTGCTTCGGTTAATTTTTCATTTCCGGGGGGGGCCCGGGCCTTCCGGTCGAATAATAACGCGTTACGTACCGGCGATTTCGTTCCTCGGCTGTCGGCCTGAATATTGAATTACGATGCTAATTGTAATTTCAGCGAGTAATTCCGCCGAACGGTTCCGAACGGCGCCGCGATTACGAGCAAAATAAAGATTGCAGCCCGTAATTAACGTCAGCTTCGACGATCGGTAGGATAAATCAGCTTCCGTTTAATCCAACGGTTCCGGGGAACCAAGTATCTTTAAGTATTATCATCGTTACTTAGAAAGGGTATTGAGAACCCTTCGCACGTAAGACCGCTAATTTGCAAAGCGAGTTGTACCCGCTTTCCTGTTTTTCCTTTATCGCGGCGGGAATAAATCATGTTCACGAAAATCAGCGATACATTATGCGGTACACCTTGGTAATTAACTACTTCCAACGAATAAATCTGTCGCGGCAACAAAAGGACCCGACGGCAATAAGGAGAACAATGCCCGCGGAGACACAATGGCGGATAAAATTATGGCGGGCAAGGTGAATCGGGTATCAAAGTCGTGGCAACAGGGGCGGGGGAGGGTTCGAAGGACGAGCCCAAGGGGGTTGAAATCGATGGGCGAACGCGACAAGGGAGCAAAACGGTAGCCGAGGAATCTCTGCTTAAAGTTCCATCACTGCTGGAAGTTAATTTAATCCCGATCCAATTAAACCGGATATAACGCTAAGCCTGCTCGTGGATGCAGTTGGGCGCGTCGGCAGTTAACGTGCCGACGCTGGCCGTGGCAGTTAACCACTGCGTAAATTGGAAATTGGCCGGCCTGTCCAATAAATATCGGATTAGCTAATAAATCGGACGGAAAACGGCGATGCGTTATGCCGGTCGAACAACGGGGGAATCCCGTGAATTAATGTCGCCGCGATCGGGGACCGATCTCGTCCGCGGACCTCCTTTGCAACTTTGTCTTTTTAAACAGTTACCACGTCTGTCAGGTTGCAACTGTCACCGAATCTCTAAAGAAACCGTATCGCGTGAACGGGCTGTTACACCTTCCGGACGTTAATGCTCAGCTTACTGGAAACACTGTCGGGTAATCGCTATTTTCTCCCGACAACGTCGAGACGCGGCGACGGCGTAGGTGTAGGAATACGAAATCGAGCACGATCTTTAGGCTCCCCTTCAGAAATATCCTTTATTCTTTTAAACTGCGGACAAAGGTTAACCGCACGTAAAAAATAGCGAAAGGATAAGATTGCGTTGCCTCGTCGTTCTTTATCGACGTTTCACCCCTTCTAAATAGACTCCGGACTCCGAAAGCAAGACGATAAATAAAGAAAAAATTGCCTCGATAGCGGCGACTTCATAAAAGTTTCTTTCTCGTTGGTCTATCGATACCGGGGGGTATAGGAGTTATTAGCGTCGTTTAGGATCGATAGGAAAACTGCCGCGATACTTGGCTCGTACATTATCTTTACCGTTAGCGGAATCGATTCTTACGGCACGCGTGGGCGAGACGGGGTTCCAAGTAGCCGGCAATAAGCACTTTTACGAAAGATGTCGTCGATTTAAGCGCTCGGGAGTCGACTGTCCCCGTCGTCAAGACCGTGATGCGCAAAATTTGCGTTGGAAACCATCAGTTACGTTGCCTGGAAGTTGTTCTCCCCGAGCTTTATGAAGTTCCATGTTTTTACGAGAGTCCAGCACCGCGGTGACGTTTACTCCGGAGTGTCACGTAACCCTTGTATTACTCGAGTTACGTGCTCATTTCGCGCCACTGAATGCACGCGTACCGTCCTCGAGTTTATGAAACTTGTAGTCGTTTTAATTACGTCTCCGGGATGGCTCGTGCATCGATCACGTTCGCAGCATTCGGCGAACGACAGATTTCTCGTCGAGATTTAACACGTTTCCTTTATTTTCATGCAACTATCCAAGTGCATATATTATTGCTGCGAATGGTGTTGCAACGATGTCGCTGTAATTCCGAGAGGAAACATTACAGAACAGGTAGGTATTCTCTTTCTTCGCCGACAGGCAATTTATTCTATAAACGTTTTTGTCGACAAGCATCGCGTAACATTCGTTCGAGCATTTTCGT